CGTCGCTTTGGATAAAGCGTCCGCTAAATGACATGTAATGTAATGTAATGTAATGTGCCTTTTTACCCCTCGATCCATTTTTCTAGACTAGTGTCAAACGCTACGCAAGCCTTCTGCAGCCCGCAAGGCTGTGATTGGTTTGCTAACTACATCCTTTCTCACATTTCCGGTTTCATAGCACAATACCGCCATTATTAAAACAAAGATTTTTTTACGAGAGAATGAATCAGATTGAAGAGCTTTTTGTTGGAAGAAATCCATAAATATGACCACTTATACAAGCCGTCATGGAGTGGAGGACACAGGTAGGGGGAGCACACACACCAGACCACAGAGCCAGACTACAGACTGCAGACCACAGAGCCAGACCACAGACGACAGATCATAGACCACAAATTGGAGTCCACAGATCAAAATCAACCGATCTGTTCTTCATCGTCTGTTTATACTATTTACTGCAATAAAGCCACAAACCTCAACTGCAATAGTCGTCGGAAAGTCTTTGTGTGTCTGCGTAATAACACATGATGGCAAAGATACATTCATTGGAAAGAAGGCTAAAGGTACAGCAAAGCAAAGATTGCTGTCTTTTGTTTACCAGCAGTTTTCGCTGTTAGCAGCATTTAGTTAACAAGGCAAGAATAGTTATATGATGATCAGGATGCTGAAATTCTTGTAATCAATTTTTTTCTCCCCAGATGCCAGTGTCATAATGGTATTTATTTCATGGTCTGCATGTTATGTTGTGAATTGATTCAAGAAGGTTTAGTGTCCTAAAAGTAATTTTAAGGAATTTTGTGGATTTGTGTCCCTGAGAAGTGCTGCTCTGTGAGCATTCACTATTTTCACCCTATACTGTTAGTTTGCATCCCTGCAATCTTGTGTCATGTTTTGCCAGAATCATCATAGTAATACAATATTTGCTTTTGAAGGTTCTGCTCTGTCCTGGGCTACATCATAAACATTGACACGTTGATGTCGATGGTCCCTGTGCTGATTGAAGGACAGGGATATGTCCTGATCTATAGATTCAGCCAGGACCACTTGGAAATTCTCTTTAACCCCATCAGAGCATCTGGTAGGGTTCATAATTTATAATTACCAGCCGCAAAACTAAGTGACACAAAGTTTCAGCACATGCTTGTATTGCTTTCAGTTTGTCGATCCATATGTTTTTTTTTCATTTTTGGTAAAATGTGTTTTCTGAAGCGATACACCTGGTGTGTCATAAACTATTTTGAGTGTTTAGAGAAATGTCTGTGTGTTTGACTATCTGTCAAACACACAGACATGAAGAATGTAATCACTACTGATGTAGTCTGAATTGTTTGATAATGTCATTCAACTTCATTTGGAAAGATCATTCAGGGCTGGCTAGTTCTAATATGTCTTTTTTTAAGCATAAAACATTTTAAAGCATATATTGAATATCTGTGTAATATACTTCTATATCTGTTTTTTTAAGGTGGATGGAATAACAACCCTAATGCCAGCCAGTTCATGTACATCTTTAGAAAGCTGATGGCCCAGTGTGGAGTTGTTAAACCATGCAGAGGAAATGCATATCCTCTGCAGCAGGAGGAGAAGATCTTCCATCCCCGTTTGCTGACATTCCTGCCCTAGTACATGACTACAGCTACCTTCCTGTTCGCTTCGACGGTCTTGTGGACAACTCTATGGTGTACATTTCAGGTAAAGGCCAATAGAGCCAATAGTCAAATCTGTGGGAAAACAATCTGACAATAGTCCAAAAAGAGAAATGTCCCCTTAATGTTCCCATGCTTATTAATTATTGTTATGATATTATTATACTAACTCAAATTTCAGGATTTGTTGTGCGACAGGCTTTGAAGAAGCTGCCCTGTGATCTGATGACAGATGCTGCATCTGCCATCAAGAACCGGAGCTACCAACTGCTGTCTCTGAAAAACAATGGAGGCCTGGTGATTCCATCAGAGGGCACAGTGAGGGTCTTCAGGGCAGCAGAGTGGGTCATTTGCCAGGCATCAACAAGTTTCAGACGACCACGGCCCATTAAACTGCTTGAGGGCATGTACATTGTACAGAAAAGGATCGGATCAGAGGATGTGTTTGTGCTCGGGGAGCACATTGACGACACGCAGTTTGGCATAGACAACCACCACCATTCGCTGATAACATTAGTTGTGTCCCTGTTTTTTAAGCTACGGCTTAGCCACATTGCTAAAACAACTACACTTAGCTTACAGAGCAACAACATGCAGACAGAAGCTCAATAAAACTGTCCTTTTCAAAGGGCATTAGTCCAATGTTATGACCCTGGTGGGTCTCTCTGTGGGCCTGCCCATTTTTGCTGCGTCTCTCTTTCTCTCTCTCTGTGGGGATTTCAACATGCAGCATTTCTTGATGTATATTTTTAAAGGGAAATCTTGTATCTTTTTTTTACTGCAAAAACAAATGTAACTTTTATAAAAAGAATATTACTAATATAATACAATAATTTGAATTATGACTTTTGTCAAACTGTTTAAACTAAACATGTACTAATTCAAATTATTTTATTATATGTATTAATATTCTTTTTATAAATATATATATTAGAAGGCATATATACATATATATATTGCCATTCTATATGCTGAGTTTTAGTAGCCTATACATTATTATAACATAATGTTACGGCCCCCGGGTGGTCTAGGGGTGAGGGGACCATAAACATATGGGCAGAACCTGGTCGGTTGTAAAAGGTACTGTTTATTGGGAACCAGAGGTAGACAGGCAGGTAACAACAAACAAAAGGAGGGTGGATGAGGGTGCTGTGAAAAAGACAAACCAAGTTAAATAAAAGAGATCCCCAAAAGGAGGACTATGCCCGAATATACATTTAAACAAACGGTAGGCTCTTACCAAAAAATACAAGGAGCACAGCACCCACTACACCTATGAAACTAACAGGCACAGAAACTACGTGTGGTGAATCAGTGTCAACTCTTGCCCCAACTCCCCCCTTTTTAAAAACGCAGTACTTCACTCAGTTGCACACAAATACACACACGGGAGGCACACAAGTCAACTGGCCATGACGAGCTTCCCCGAGCCACTGGTGGGCTCCCCTTAAGAGCTAGAGGTAAGGCTGAGGTGGTGACGTGCCATTGGGTGGGCTGGGACAGGGTGGACCAATGGGCGGAGCTGGAGTGAGCCTGACAGAGCTCCACCGAAACCAGGAAGTAGGCGGGGCTTTAGTCCACAGGGCCGCACAGCCTACTTGGTACAGGCAAGACAAGACAGAGAAATACAGACCACGGTGACAGCCGTGACAAATAAATACTTTGTGCGTGTGTATTTATTGCAACTATTGCACCTCTGTTCTGTTTAATGTTATTTTCATATAAAAACCCATGGTTATAATTATAAGTATTCATAAGTATGCAGTGTCATAAATACATCTCTGTGCAGGGTGGGTGTTCTGCCCGTGGAACTGGCCAGTTGGCGCCCCCTTCTGGGCGCTATTGGTTGTTTAATTAATTCGCTTTTACGTTGGCATGCACTTTCACCCGGAACCGGAAGTTCGCCGTCTGTGTTATTGTTTTTGAACGTTTCAGAGAAATCATCCGCTGCCATGTTAAACGCCTTCGAAAGAATAGTCTTTTTACTCCAATTTGAATCGTTTATTGTCAGTTCTGTAAAATAAAGCATCTGGAGCGTGGATGAGTATCCTGACTCCCGTATTCCTTCAAATGGAGGTTGGGTAACTGCTGAATTGTGAAGTTACACACACAAGGAGAGCAGTACAGTGGGGATTTGAAAATGCAGTCTTCTTGATTTAAAGGGAAATCTTGTACCTATTTTAGAACATAACATAATTATTCAGAAGTGTCATAACTACATCTCTGACGTATATAAGAAACCAAACCGTTTACAAATCGGTTGAAAATTGAGCAAGTTATGGTTATTTAAAAAGTAAGCGAGCGTGAGCGAGCTGCCCGTGCCAAGATGGCCGCCATGTGCGGACGAGACAGCTAGCCTTTATATATATCTATGATACGAGCGACCACGAGCAGTGTCCTTCCAAGAAGACCCGACCCGAACTCGGTAAGAGAGAAGAACTTTGCCGGAGAAACTAGAGGTGAAACAGCTGGACCCAGATCAGCCAGACCTTATAATCAGACAATGACCGGCGTGAAAGCGAAGCCGCACATATGACGCTTCAGTAGAGACTTCTACACCTGCTAGTTAGCTACGTGCTAACGCTGTAAATTTGCGCACCGCGCTCATGAAGTTAACATCGCTACCCAGCTGGGACGGACGCACACAGGAGTGCGGGGAGGACACGCAACCAGGACGTGGATGAAAACAGGCACATTTTATCCAAAATTATTCATTTTGTTATTGTTATTCGTTTTGTGGGGCTTTTGAGTTGGTCTTTCCTCAACACATTGATCGGATGTTTCCCTAACAAACTAGGTTCATAGGTGCATCTCAATATATACGTATACATGTTCTAATAGATTTATATAAATATAGTTATATTGTAATATAGTACATCATTTAATACCATGTATTTATTATATTAAATGTATATTGGACATTTATAATAGTTACGATATGGTAGTTGTATCATATTCTGCATATTGTTTTTTAAATCTATATATAAAAGATGTCCTCCTTATGTTAAACTAAAACAAAAAAAGCTTGATAGTAGAATATTTAACAGTAAAGAAATAAATTACAACGTACTTAGCATGACGCGGTGACGTCATAAAGTCAGCTGCTGTTTCATTTGCGGAAATGACAGTTTTCCGTTCTTCCCTACCGGTGAGTAAGGACTCCCGAGTCCGTCTCCCGACCCGAGAACGCAAGTCCGTTCTTTCTGTCTTATTATTATTATTATTATTATTAACAAACGGCCATGACCACCTTCAACCGGCCAGTAGGCTTTAGATATCGGAAGTAGTGCGAGTGGTCCGTCAGGTGTCTGGCCTTCAGAATAAATGAAGCTAGCTGTAGAGCAGTGTTGCAATTTGATGCAATTTGCAGTGTTTATATTTATCCTCTTGGACCGCATGATTATTCTAACATAATTTCGATTTAGGAACAAGGCAGGATTAAGAACTAAAGGTAAAATGTTGAATGCATTTTCAGTCTTCCCTATATGGGCAATTTTCAAGTCTTGATTTGTTTTTCTTTCACAAAATGTTGCTCACTACTTTTGTCTGTGGTAAAATAAACACTACGTTTACGTTTCTGCATGTGTGCACTGCCGCTTACGGTTGTTTAACTAGGTACGAGACACCTTTACTCTGGAGAGTACGGCGCCGGAAGTACGTTTTTACGACGTGAAGTGAAACTGCAACAAAAATCTGCCGGATCGAAGTTTCAAGGTATGAATAACTCTTATCATGGCTGTTTGTTATTTTAGTTCGGTTGGTATTTTTATTGGACCTCATTTGGCTTATTTGACGAAACCAGTCATTGTGTAATCAGCAACCTTCATTTTCCAAATATTTTAACAAACGTTAGCATAACGTCACGTTTCTAATGCCAGCGCGTGTGTTCACGATGGTTTTGGTAAAAGCCCGGAGTATAAAGTGTCACGCACGTGAAGGCTTTTCTTGCTTCCAATGCTTACGGTTATAGATGGAGAGACATTAACATTGCTTCGCCGTTCCTTAAACCCGTAGGCGGACCCCTACTATCACTAATAAAACCGGCGAGGTGCTCACCGACAACACGCCTAAAATCGAATCCTGTCTCGGTGTTTCATCCCCTCCACTATATATTGTAGTTTTGGCTTGTTTTATGACAACATTGTATTAATCGCAAATGGCACATCTGGTTAGTTTCTGATAACATACATTGCGCGCTATAATAGTAATATAAGAAGAGAGTATGTCAAATAGGTTCTGGTCGCCGATCGATATCCTGGCAGATCATTTCCAGTAAACACTGACATTGAATGTCAGAATAATACATTATAGTGACTCTGATTGGATGTCATTCTCTAGAGAGGCTGAAGTTTCATCAAAACAAAAATGTAAACTTAATACAATATAATTTATGGAATAATCTGTTTGGTAGTCATTTTCATTTTGAAATAATACATTTTAAGTCTAAATTGATTACATTCACTTATTATCGAAATCTTCAGTTTGTCTGATGATTTATTAAAAGGGCTATTGAATTTGTTATGTGAACCAGAAAAATAGCAAATCTTCACATTAAAACTAACTGCTTATCAACTATTTGCTCTTTAAGTCTTTTAAGCTTAGACAAATAACTTTAAGATTCATTGATTTATATTGTAATGCTTTTAATAAAAAATACAGTTTGTGGTTACAACATGCTTATGTGTGACAAATTTAAACTGGGGTGTCGCTGGCTCTGGATTTGTTAAGTTGACACATCTTTTTATGCCACCAACCGTTCCTTTTCCTAACTGGGTGTCATCCTCAAGTCCCTTCATGGGCACTTGCAAGTACGCTAATCAGTCCAAAATGTTCCTGCCGTTTCAATTCAGAGAAAGATGCTGAACAACATTTGTCATACACAAATCAGTATATAGTGTCATCCCTACAGAAAGCGGGTCCCAAGTCCCAAATATACCTTTTGCTGACCCTCTGGGGTCACAGAGAAACATGCTCACTCTCTGTCACAGTCACAGAGTCCATGTGTGTGTCATTTCCTAACAAATCTGGAAATCCATAGCTATGATAATTTGAGTTCTAGACTCCCCATAAGGTTATAATAGTTCATAAAACAATGTAAAATCCTATTATGCATATGCAGGAGATATAAGATATTTCCAAACAACTCTTCACAAAAAAGTAAATAATCATTATTTGTAAACAAATACTGATAAGTTTAGCCTGAAAAAGAAAAATGAAGAACTATTCCCAAATTCTGTTTCAACAGTGAAATATGCAGAGCATGGATCTCCTTGGCAAACTGGAAATCTACATCCCAGTGGAAGCTGAGGTGAAAAGGATCCCTCTGTGGACTTTGCCAAAGTCCGTGATCAGAGGAATGGGCCTCCCCGTGTCTGCCTCTAAGGGTTCTGGGAAGCTCACAGACTCTCCAGAAGGCACATGGATTTGTCCTGCAGTCATACGAAGGAAAGGCCAGAAACTGACCTCCCACGCAGGGAACCACACAATGGAAAACCTGTCTTCGCTGCTGGGAAGAGAGTTTCGAGCTAATCCAGGGCCCGTCCAAATGAGCTTTGTCTTGGCTAACCATGCGGTGTACAGGGCGCTGAACGACGCCATGAATGGAAAGAAGGTCTTGGCGCACACATCTCACGCCTCCCTGTTACCTCTGGGCGATGCACCGCGAATGTACAAAGATGCCGTTATCCTCTACAATGGACACGTATACCTGTCAATTAGGAATCCCAACCAGAGCCGGAGTCCACCAGAGATACTCCAACAAACGACAGCTTTACAGTCTTCCATTCCTTCAACATCAGATTTACCATCTAAAAGCCTCAAAAAGGTAACATAATATTATTTAACTAATGTTTGAGGCTCAGCCAGACACTTGTGGGATGTAAAACCTTCTTGGTACCTTCCTCTGCCTCATTAAACCATGCTTTTTGTGATTGGCCCTTTTCATAAAGCACGCTTTTTTCTCTGTAAAGTTGAAAGAAAAATACTCATGAGGCTTCTCTGTCCTCCTGCAGCGCCGGTCCCCTCAGACTTGTCTTGAACCTGCAGAACCACTGAGGAAGAAACTGCATGTGACTCTGCCCCACATAGCTCCAAAACAGCTAAATAATTGTCTCAGTAGACCAGATAATCACTCCACAGCAGACCAGGTGAGTGACATGATAAGAATAATCAGGAGAGAGAACTGACTTCATTGGTTCAGCCCATTTGGTGATGCGGTTACAAAATGTTTTCAAACAGATCAGGAGATTTTATATTACATATTATTTTATTAATACATGCTAATTAAGGCCAACATTAAAGAGGTGTGCCTTAGCAGATGGTTAGAATAGGGTGGAAGCACTGGCCAATGGTTCAATCCACAAAACTGTGGATTGGTGTCATGACAGGAAATGCATTTCACCCGTTGCATTAAATCTGCGATGTGTCCACACAGGTCTCCCAACCACAGACAATCCATCATTCATTCTGCCGTATTATATTTTAACAATACAGAATAGAGGCAGGTATTTTTTACATTTTTAAGGTCAGGGACCTTACAACAATACGCTGCTATCAGGTCACCCTGGCACCATGACAGTGACCAAAGAATGTAGTCCCTGTGTGACATCCATGATGTCAAAGCCTTAAGTTCAGCACGAGCCACTCCAAAATGGTCGGGCACCTCAGGCTCAAATTATTAGTAAATGTCTTTCTCCATGGAAACAGTCCTCTGCTTCCTTGTACCTTTTGTTAGAATCCCTCAGCCGTCAGTTAAGGATTCTTGGTTTGTCACATTACTGGAAGTCTTATCTTGATGTGATACTACCCTGTCAATCCTGTAGGAGCTCCTAAATGACAGCAAGCCCAAGGAGAAACGCACTGCACCTAAAGCAACACACGGGGAAAACAAGAAGCCTGATATGCCCAAGGGAGGTGACGTGTCCTCAACCACGACTGCACATGCTGGCAGCGCTCACAAAGGAGACAGTCAACGCCATAGGGATGTCGAGCAACAGCAGGCCGCAGAAGAACCAGCCACCACAGAGCAGGTGTGGTTTCAGCCTCAGGCGGAGCGTGGGCTGGAGGAGAAGGGCAACGACGAAGACGGCAGTGAATGTGAGATGGTGACGGGTGATGAAGAAGCTGATTATATACACGTAGTCAGTGCCGGTGAATCTAACAACACGGTCAATATTGTAGATCAAAGCGGCAGCCAGAGCCAAACCATGACAATGTGTCGGGGCGAAGCTCCAGCATCCACTTTGCTGCAGGAGTATGTTTTTAAGCAACTGGAGAATGAGGAGAAAATCGCTCGCATGAAGCTCAAACTGAGACAGGGGGTAGCCGCTCTCAACAACCTGCCCTCCCCATGATAGCGAATAAGAGATTGTTTGTGGTGCAGCAGATCATAAAACATGGATCACCACAAACAAATGATGCCCCTCATACTAATATTCCTTGGCAGATCCAGATCCACCTGTTGTTTGGGACTGCTGATCAACAAAGATCCAGATTATTTGCATGAAAAATGTGTTTGTGTAAACAACTCAAATGAATTCATGTTATTGTGAAAACATTTTACCAGGTTACATCCGACTACTAAATTTACCAAAACTCGTTTTCACTGAGCATAGGCTGAAGGGAACCTTTGTTCTCCTTTTGGATTGTAGAATTAAATCATTTTGAAACTAACATTATCAGATAAAACTATAAACAACATGCTCATAAACATCTCAATGTTACTCAATGTTGGCGGATAACGATCATCAATACAATTTAATTTCACGGATCAAGAATACACCGTTACACCACTAATAATCATGCCTTAGTTCCCCAAAACTAAAACTCCCAATAAGAGATTTACCCATGAACACATGCAGATCAGCATCCTGCTGCACCTAGATAATGATTCCCCTCCATGGAACATCTTCAAACAGGATACCAGTGTGCAACTGAACTCAGGGACAAGGTCTTTTTAAACTAGTACTCACACTTCCTCGACATTTGCTGCAGAGGACACATGCCATTGTTTTGTGACGACCGACCTTCGCAATTGGATTTAAGAAGTCCCTGTGATGTCTCCGTGACATCACCCGTTGCTTCGTGGACTGTTGCTTTAAGGCCTTGAGTTTAGCGTTTTGGCCGTTACCCTCTTCTGTTTTTTTGTTTATTGTTTTTTACACTTTACAACCACACGCTGTATTAAACATTCTTAGAAGACTAAAATTTTAGAAACAATTTTTTGTGGAACCCCTCTTTCTCTAAATTCCATTTGTTGCTGTTATCTGTTCTGAACATTTGCTCACTTTCTAATGTTCCTCTGACTGGGATCCCTGACGTGTGGACCCGCCATGAGTTTGATTATACATTGTGAAGACGTTAAAAACTGGCGTCTTTGACGGTCTGATTCTGTTTTGCATAGGAAATGTTAATTAAATTGTTCATCATCGAGTCTGTCATCACACTCATTTTTCAAAAAGAAGTCCTCCATTTCCTCCAGGCGGTTCTCCTCATGGTGTTTTTAATCAAGGTCAAAGAGAAGGGATTAGGAAGGGACACCGTTGTTTCACTGTTCGATCCCCTCATTACAGAGCCCACAGAATGACATGATGACGGATGTTTGGAGTACTAAAACCCAGAAATTAGTCCGCGTCTTTACTCTTCAGCTTCCACTGTTGCAGTTTCTTTTTGTAAGAGGTGTGAAACACAAACTGGAGAGATTTGTTGATCTCTGGAATGGAATAATGAAATAGAATAGAATAAATAGCCCTGCGGTAGATTTTAAAACCTTATACGTGTCTTAAATAATAATAAAAGATGAGAAAGGCCCCTTACTAGACCACTGGTCCTCCTTTAGCTCTGGAGGAAACGTGAAGTCATGTGACTGCCTGTAGCTCCTTATAGAGCCCAATAACTCTTTTAAAAGTGGTCTTCATTTGTAAAGAATGAATGTGGAAGTATCCTAAATGGTTGTTTGCCACAGAGAATATCTTTCTGCAATAATGAAAAAATTAATTGGGGAAACCCCATAGGCTTTTCTTCATAGTACTGTTTACTGTGACAAAATTACATAAATAAATGACTCTACACTCTATTGATACGGGTCTGCAGTGGTGAATTTCAGGCCGACAGCATCTTCTGCCCTCTCCATACGGATGGTCTATGATGTCCTGTGCTCAAGGAGATAAGAATTGAAGCATTGAAGTACCTTATAGGCATTTAGAAGGTGATCATTGCTGCCACATGATACTGCCGGGTCATCCAAACAAGTTAGTTATTATCAATATTCTAACTACATGCTGCAGATATTGTTGCAGATGTTTACTCTTTTCATTTGCTTTTGTTTTGTCTTGTTGCATGTTTCCTTAAAGCGCCTCGGAGATCTTTAAGGAAACATGGGTGCCATGCTGAATGAAGATGACCCAACAATTTTACCTATGGGCTCAACCAAATAATAGAAATACCTCAGTATGTAACTCTAAGAAAGAAAGAGAAACTTAGGCCTTTTTTAGAAAGTAACAAGTACCCATCATATCTGTGACTGCGATGAATATGCTGTTTCACACAGTGGAACAGAGACAGCATGTTAAATCATCTGATAGGAGCTCCAGATGAGATTTGTGAGGAGTGTGGGGAGGAACCTTCCACTGTGCCCCTCCTGCTGCCGCTCTATAAGACTGCAGCTCGGCTGGAGTCCTACCACGCTGACAGGATGGACGCCTTACGACACCCTCCCGCCATGCTGAAGGTAAGACCGTGACACATGCTGCATTCAGGTGTACTACTTCTCACTGTCAAGGAAATAACTGGGACTCAGAAAGATATGCAATCGATTTGTTTTGAGGTATTCAACATTCTTTTTGAATGCTCATTATTACCACTAAGTCCTAAACAATTATGTCCAGGAAACCATTGTTTGAAGCCGTGAGCTTATGATTTTTAACAGTTCCTAAAAGTTTTTAAGCTTTTAGGACCTCCAGGATTCCACGTCTGACTCATGGAAATTTATATGATTTATGTTTGGTAAAATTACTTATCTTGTTCAAATGTCTATATTGACCAAAAACAAGAAATCTCTATGCCTGGTTTTTGGCTTTGCCGTTTTCCAGGGCTTTCGACCACATTTCACTGTCTTCCTCAGTGGAATGAGGTCATGCCTCTAGAACCGGGCAGGAAAGTCCTGACCAACCTGCTGCATTCAATCGCTACAAAGGGTGTTTTTTCAGTTTTCAGCACTCTGAAACGATGCTAATAAGTCATAGTACTCCATTTCATTCAGTTACCTAACTTCTTGTGCTTCTTGTCAAAATCCTTAAAGTCTTATACCTGGAAATCATTCCAGCATGAGCAGTATGTTATCCCTTTAGAAATATTTAAGCAGTCCAGAATTCAACGAGTCTCCCTTTGGCCTAAAACAGTCCAATTTTAAACGGTTTACTTTGAAAGATGTATCGGTTCAACATGTCTCAGCGTTTTTATGTTTCTTTTATATTTTTCAATTTAATGTTTTTATTTCGTTCTTTCTGAAATTATGGAAAAGGACATCACCTCACGTGTTTGTGTGATGTGCTATCTAATGTGTCTCCCCTTTAAACATCACCAAGTAGTGTTGTGTGTTGTGTTGTGTATGCCGTAGATGCTTGTGTGTTTTCTTTGTGAGCTGGGTCACAGAACAGCTGTGCATGTGGCGGGCTCAGCGTATTGAAAGCTTCCCCTCTCCTTCCTAGGCCTTATGTGTTCAAGTGTGTATGCTCTACTCCGCCATGAGTCTAGCCGGCTGGGCTCTGTCCTCGGACGCAGCTAGACTGCGGTGCGGCACGGACCTCATCAGTGACCTCATATTTGTGTGTGGGGACCGTGGAATCCATTTAGGTAGGTACATCCTCGTTATGTCCTTGCTTTCACATCTGGTCTCACCTTCTATGGGATGTAAAATGTTCTTTATACGACTGGAAACCCCTCAGTAAAAGTCAGTTGGTACCCAGCACCTACCAGATGTTGGTTCAACGTTGAAGCTAGCATGTTGTACACTGACAACCAGCTGACCCCTGCTTTGGATTTTTTCAAATGATGTCATCCATACTTCCATACATCCATCCATACCAACTTTCCTTTATTTTAGCATGGAAACAAGCACTTATGCGTGATGTCCCAATAAGGTTTGTAGCTGTTATAGTATAGGTTTTGCAAATGTAATTTATGGAAGGAGAAAAAATAACAAACTGTAACTGGGGCTAAAAATATGAATTGATAGATTCTGTCGTATCATCACAGAATTGCACATTGATTCTATTGTCTAATTTTAATAAATATACAAAAAGATAATAGCACCAAGTCCTGTCAAGGTTATCCTCCCCTTTGTGGTACTACTTACACTAGCAGAGGTGTATAACAGATATGACCATGGTCATCGTGCCTAAGAGAAGACACTGCAGTAACTCGCAGTAAGTTATCAGCTCCACAACAACAGCCTGTTCATTTATTGACATAAAGACTAGCCACAACAATGCAGCCAACTGGACAGAATTTTTATGCGATGGTATATCTCTTGGTTGGTCTTTTATCCTGGGCTCCATTAAATTCCACTGTGTGGTCCATCACTAGATACATACAGCAGGTGTGGCATGTAGATGAGCTCACCAGATTGGTCCCTTCACATTGGACGGTATACTGTGAGCCAGGTATCGGGATTTAATAATAACCTTTATTTTAAATGAAAGTATAATATCTCGTACTGCACACAGAATTACCCACATGACCTTTCACTTGATTACCTTTTGCTCCGTTCTGACCAAGGCCACTTTACTCCTCACTATCAGACCAAAATGGCAGCTCACTGTGCCTCAGTGTGCGATAGCTTTGTTTTTCCAACACTTGTTATCTGAGTGCAGCGCAGCTTTCACAGAAATAACAAAGAAAAGGTGAGGGCAGTGGCAAACAGAGAACCAGAATTCTATGACTATGAGATTTTGCTCGTTATGACCAAATATTTCAGAAATGCTAGCCAGTGTTTTAAATGCCAACTTGCTAATGCTCACGTTGACGCAGTGTTGAGAAAGCTAGTTAACGTTTCAACCCGTAGCAGTTGTGTAAATGGGTGGTTATCTAATACATTGTGCTACATAGAATTGCAGAGTTTCTCTCATAAATCCTGATATACGTATAGTCTTTTTTTGGTATAAAAATCTACTTGAGATTGTTCAATAAATGTCCTTGAGGCTAGTCACTTATATCTCTGCCAATCATTTTGTTGTTTATACTATTTCACGTACGATACATACATCTTAAAGTCATTGAGAAAAACGCATGCATTGGACAATCAGTTGATAACTGACAGGACTGGACCAATCAGAGTCAACTATGGGAATTCTTTGTCTGGGAGTCATTTACATTTCACGCCATTCCTTTAGTAGTTGGGGAAATATTTTGCATTGATGGTATTGTATTGGTATTACATGGTATTCTGAAGGCCATCTAGATGGACATGAAGTGGTCTTTTATATTCATGACTCTTAAAAGGATGAGCCCCGATGATTTTGAAAACATCTTGAACCATGCCACTGCAGCCGGCCGGAATACTTTCCCCCCTGGACTATAACCGTGTAATATCTTGAAATGCAATAATAGATTGTCATTAAAATGACTGAGCATGTACACCACAGGAGCACATCAAACAAGCCCTTTTGGTTCAAATGTCTCTTCTCTAGCACCATGTTCATGACCGACTCTGTACTTGGCCAGTACGTTTGTGTTGTGAGGTTTATGGCCTGTTGCAGTGGGGGGATAGACTAACATGCAAAAGTGAAAAAAGTTGCCTAACATACCTATTTGGGCTTGACAAACCTTAGAATACATTCAAGTTGTCAAGCTTTTATTTTTTGAAGTCAAGAAATTTAGAAATACCAAACAAGAATCTAATGTTGGACATTGGTCTCTCTCTCCGCAGGTAAAGGTTCGTGGTCTGGGTATGGCTCTCGACCCAGGGGGAAGGGGATAGTGGACCAGTGCTGTCAGTCAGCTGGCTGTGAACTTCAGCTTCTGGAGATGTATTGTGCCAAACCTAAGAGTAAGCTGAAGACGACAGCTCTCCCAACCCAAACCACGGCCACCCCTACCACCACACAGCTACACACGGTATGACCTCTACTGATTGAGCATGGGTGTTTATTTGTTAGCTTTTAGCAGAGCTGTCAAACGTAGGTCCTGAGTAGGGACTGAAGTTGTATTAGAGGTCATCACGTGGTCTAACTAGAAATCTGGTCACAAAATGACATGTACTGGTAACACTGGCTTTGGTAACAACGATTTCTGTCAAGGATTGTCTTTGGTGTCAGAAGAAAACTTCCAGATCTAAAAAGGGAAGCCAATGTAGAAGTGTCCTATACTTGGATTACCTCTGGGGCCTCTGATTTTGTGTACGAGAAAATTACTTCTTTGTTGATTTTCTTTCCTCAGCAAACATTGTTAGCATGAGTTCATGGTCTCAATCTTTAGTTTTAAGTCTTTTTCAATACATTATAATTAATTTAGTAAATTATTACTAATTATTATATACACAGTCCAAAGGAGGTTGAGGTTCTCATCAGGGCCAAAGTCTGAGCCCGCCTTCAACAGACAAATTGTCTTACCCAAACCCGACATTCATAAACACATAACCTACATTTTTTAAACAAAGAGAGGCAAAATGTGATAGAAGCCCGAAGACGGATCCAGGTTGATTAGATCAGGGGATAATTAGGCTTGATATAAGGACGAACCATTGCAACACAAACTGGCACTACCCCATCTTATGTTGAGTTAAGAATATTCTGTTCCTTCGTTGGTTGTAATAGAATAGAATAGTCCTGAAATTAAAGCAACAACCACCACAGGAATAAAAAACATTTATTTCATAAATCCAAATCGGACAATGATGACTTCAATGGGTAAAGAAAACGCAACACAATAAAGTGGTAAAACCTAACTTAGCCCCCTCACAGGGCCAAGTCCACCTGCTACAGCAAAGCAACATGTCCTTGAATCAACTCTGTATTCCTATCTTTGGTATTGCAGACTCAGCAGTTCCAAGCAGTGTTTCAGAAAAGACTCTCTGAGCACCTGGGAGCTCCCGGCAGTCCAAAGAGGGAAGCTTACCGAAAGAAAACACAACCTTCCCTCCGACGGAAAAGCAAAGTTGCATTGTTTCGCAGGAGGAATAGAACAAAGAGCACAACCAGTAGGCCTTCCTCGGCCTCTAAGAGTCCACTTCAAAGAATAGTGGCAACTGAATCGTGACCCTTGACCTCATGGAAATAATAATATTTAGAGGTTTAGACCAAGACAGTTTGAAAGACTGGTATTGACTCTGGGGATTACAAACTGATTTGGAGGGAAACAAAGAGTTGCCGGGTAACATCCAGGAAGAAATCCTCGGGTGATGTTTAACCTCCTGTGGACTTGGGCTTGTGGGAGTTGGTGTTTGTAAGAGGCTGCTAAGCTCTAGACAAACGGTAACACTAGACACGCTGTGGATTTTCAGTCATCTTCCTTTTCTTTCCTACAAATGTAAAGTTACAGTGGATACACCACCTCACCAAGTTCTTCAAAGTAATGATTGAACCTGCTTTAGTCAAACTTAACCTACTGCACACAATGTACCTAGCCCTGCAGTGCAGAACCCGTTTAGGCAACAAAACCACCTGTAGTGCTCAGGGTTTGAGTAGTTTTAGAAGTAGGTTAAGTTAGACTAAAGCAGGTCCAATCATTACTATTGAAAGGTATATGCAACTGTGGTGCAAGGAACCGCAAGGTTGGTGGTTTGAATCCTGGCTGCTCCATGTCCCATGTTGAAGTGTCCCTGAGCAAGACACCCAGCCCCTAACTGCTCCCTGGGCAAAATGTAAAACCATGGGTTAAAAATGCAATGTAAGTCGCTTTGGATAAAAGCGTCAGCTAAATTACATGTAATGTATGTCAGAACAGTGAGTGACTGAAGCCTGCTCTCTATTGGACTCTACTTTGAAGAACTTGGTGAGGTCGTGTATCCACTGTAACCAGTCAAACCAGTAATTATCATTCTAATAAATGGTTTATGAGGGTTGTTGCAATGGAAGTGTCAGCAAACATCCAAATTCATTTGGAGTGCTGTTTTTGCCCTCCTAAAAAATACAAGCCCTCCACCCTGGAGGCTTGTCTCTTACCTGCGTCCGTCGGCAGTTTGGTTGAGTTCACTGGCTTTTTACATCCCTCTCCTGCCGTGGTATAGAGCTATAGGGGTGAGATCAGATGAAATGCGTCTGCTTGGATGTGCTTCATTTCTGTTCTATTTCTCACAGAGAACTAAACATGACTCTATTGTTGTAATTAAGACACCTATTATATGTATGACACATATGTGAGACCTGAAAAGTTACAAATAACGCTGATTCTGGTTCTGATTCTGTTATGTGAAGTGTGCTATCTGGTGCTAAGCATGTTCACATAGCACTTTTGACTGAATGTCAAGTCCAGTGTTTTGGGGCTACACATTCAAATGTACCCAAGATGTTTTCCCATTGAATGGGATAGATGTCAGTTGTACAGAGTTACATTTAATGTAATATGTATAGGGTTTCTTTTTGTGTGTGCTTTGTATTATTTATTTCACTATGACAAAATACAATTATAATAAATATTAAAACTTTAAAATGTGTTGTGATGTTCTTGTCATACCTTAAAATCATGGTTGTTTTTCACATGTGGTTCACTGATCACCACAAGTATCATACTGTATAGTCCCATTATCTGAACGGCCCCACTGATAAACCATCAGCAAGTTATTAAAAAGCCAATGAAAGGTAAACCATAAAGTGCTTAATTTTTCTGGGTAATCCAAATCGCACATTAAAGTGGATACTCTGAACATTTGTATTGCCTCTGAACAGCTCTCAGAGGGCACCTGAGTTCAGAGGTAGGTTGTTGTTTATTGTGTGCAGTTGACTCATATCCCAAGCTAGAGTGTGACAGCACTGCAGACCAGCTGGCCAAAGCCGACCCAGAGCTGTGATTTAGGACAGGATATTGGTTGGATTTTGGACTGCTGGGCAGTGACGCCACTGCTGCTTCATCATGCTGCACCATAAAAGGGCACAGATGGTGAGTATTTCAAATACCTGCCTTTTCAAAAGACAGAATGCAGAGCAGGTAACACAGTCACATCAATTCAGCCGCTCATTGTGTGAACTCAACAGAAGTCCTGTCTGCCCGAGGCTCCAACCACGCTGAAACATTTCCATTTTAAATAGAAATGACGAAAATGTGCGTCCGCCCCAAAGCCGTACTAGAAGCCTGAAAACGAGTATCCCAAGAATATTAATGAGGGTGCCGGTATGAACACAAACACTCACAAAGTCAAATAGTATAAAAGTTGTATTTTTCAAACTTAGTTACAAGGCTGTCGTCCTCTCTCAAACACACACACATCAAATTGACTTAGGAATCACAAAAGTTTCACTCGATCATTCCCTGGATTGGTTGTTAGCTCTTCCCTCACTTATTCTGGTCACCCTGTTGCACTGGAGAGCATTTGTTGCTTTGTGCACTTCACAATATTTCTGGAGAACCCAAAAATGAATGAATTTGTTGTCTACCAAAAAGACAAGAAATGTTTGCTGAGACCCAGTCAAGAGGCGAATGCAGGTGTCTGGATCATTGTTTTCAAAGGTTTTGAAAGTAACACTGCTTATTGTGACTATCCTGAGAAGTCTGGACACTACACGGAAACTTGACAAATAATGTGCGTTTTAAAAGACATAAACATATTAATAAGGATGTAGCTTTTGAGACTGGCTTATAGAGGCTGGTTCATAGTTGACACTCAAAACCTTAATCAGCATAATAATCGTTCCAACAGGAGGTTCATGTGTGGAAAGGTTACATTTTAGTAACGCGTGTTTTCTTCCAATCTCTCCTGGTAAAAAGTATCACTCCAACACAGGCAAAGCTCTAATCCTGATCACAACAAACAAGACAAAATAGCCTATTTAATAACATATTCAACTTAATCTGAGATTCCTTGACTTGTATAATATGAAAGCTACTGTTTATAAAATGAAATTCTAATATAGGAACCAGTGAAGTTAATTTTTGTAAAGAATGAGCCAATATAAAGTAATTGATGTCATATTCAGTCCAGTACGTGAAAGTAAAATGAGCAAGACGCCTAAACCCTAATTGCTCCCAGGCCAAAAATAAAAGCGATGGGTTAAAAATGCAATGTAAGTTGCTTTGGATAAAAGCCTCAGCTAAATGACCTGTAATGTATTACTTCAGTGTTATTACTTCAGTGACACCTGTTTGGCAAACCCATTGAGCTGAAACCTCTGAAACAATACGTTTCAGTAAAGTTAGCGAGAGAAACACCTGCTCTACACACAGGCATTTGTGTCGAGCGACAAGGTTTTGTCGTCGCCAGACACACTTTTTAGTGTACGAGGCCTGTTAGGTGAATAGGCTGTCCACCTGCCAACTGTAGGAGTCCACTGAGGTGTTTCTGTCAAGGTTGCAGGAGGATCTGAACGTTATCTTTTTTTCTTGCTGTCTTATCAGCAGGCTTGTATCGGTAGCAGAGCAGCTGCAAACACAAAGACAAGCAGCCGAGCTAAAAGCTAGCCCTCGACCTGGACCAATGAAGCACCCTGGATGTGAAAGCTTCAACAGCAGTCAGTGTTTGCCATAGAACTGTGCAAAAGTAGTTTTTTAATTGGAGAGTTGAGTGTCTTTTCCTTTTTTGATTTCCAGGATAAACTGTTTTTCCCTTTTGTGTGCTTTGTTCTGATGGTTCATGGAGTTCCTTGATTCTCTCTCTTAATTGCACTGAGCCACCTTTTTTACCAAAGCATCACCACCAATAGTGTTGCAAGTTTCTAATCTAATTTTAATTTTCCCCCCGCTGTGCATTGCCTTGGCAGAACATATTATTATTATATTATGAGGTGGGATTGGATGGATGTTAATAATAATCCAGATTTCATTGTGAAATGTGAATGTTTACTTTCACAAATGATGCTCTATCAGCAATTTATGGGATGTTCTGTCAAATAATGTTGGCCACTGGGTATTCAAAATGCATTAAATTATTATGTACTGTGATGACCAAGAAAACCTTTGTTTTTAAATCAGATTTCGTGAATAAATCCTAATGTTGTGTAAATGCACTGCCGTTTAACTATAATTCAGATTATATTAAAAGAATCATATTAGCATGAAGTATGATATACAGTTATGGCAAAACTGAAAAAACGTCAGAAATCTTTGTTTGACACAGAGCTTATTTTCTGCAACAATCCAATACATATCTAAAGTAAATGTCCAGTTGGCTTTTTGTCAGGCGAACCACTGCGACACAAACTTGCTAGGCCAGCAAAAACACATCTTAGTTAGCATGTTTTTGTAAGGGTCAGTGGATTTAACAAACCATAAATTCAGAAAACAGAAAATAAATTTACATTCTAATTTCCATATAATTTGTATTCAGTAACCAAACTATATTTCAAGTAATCCGACCCGTTCCTGGAGGTGATCGTGTTTTAATATCTGACTTTAGTAAACCTCTGTGACCTCTAGCTGCAGGAGACATGCGTCACTGCATTTCTTAGACTTGTACAACATGAATGAGTTCTTCACTTTACTTATTAAGCTGTTCGTTGTCTCCTGATCTCTTTTTGTTGTGTTTCACAGTGTTAGAGTGAATAGAACAATGAGGGACAAGTCGATTTTGATAAGTGTTTGGGGACAATTCTAAGATTAAAAAGGATGTAAACACTGATTACTGATAGTGACCCGGAGAGAGTGATTCGTCCACAGAAACATTTGTTTTTATTCAGCATTTGTCACTCAAATCATTTGTCCTTTCTTTTATCTCCTTATTGCATAACCTCTGCCTGTTGAAGAAAATGACAGCACTCTTTTTGTGAGGCTTGTCCTTACCAGAATAAGCAAACTCTATCAACCTGTCATAAACCAGTTGTCTTAATCCGATGATCATTCACAAAAACGTTTGCTTTGACATGCTTGATCGCATGGGTCATCGCAGAGTCATGTAGTGGCAGAAATAAATATGAGGGCAGATGTTCAGAAACATTGTGTTAAACCAAAGCAGTACATGACTAAAGAGGGAGCCAATCAGGGCTGACATGACGGCCACATAAATACATGAGGGAACATTACATACACAAGTGATTTTTCACTGCCAGGATGAAGTTCTTATGGATCGACTTCAGCTTTGGTTAGAAATTCTTAAAATTAGGGTCAAACTATGTCTTGTTTTACCTGATACGAGGGTCTGAATATATATATCAGTGACATGCTAACACTCAATGTGATAGTAGTATTATATAGTTTTATATACTATATAGATAGTAGTTTATAGTATCGTACTAACGCCCACTTTGACCGCTAGGAACCTCGGCGTCACACTCGACAGCCAACTCTCCCTGACTCCCAACATCACCGCGACAACGCAATCCTGTAGATACACACTCTACAACATCAGGAGAATACGTCCCCTTCTCACTCGGAAGGCAGCGCAGGTACTGATTCAAGCTCTTGTCATCACCCGCCTGGACTACTGCAACTCCCTCCTGGCTGGTCTCCCTGCCACCGCCATTCGACCTCTGCAGCTCATTCAGAATGCAGCAGCTCGACTGGTCTTCTACCTTCCGAAATTCTCTCACACTACTCCACTCCTCCGCTCTCTTCACTGGCTACCGGTGGCTGCCCACATCCAGTTCAAAACATTGGTGCTCACGTACCATGCTGTGAATGGATCGGGTCCAGCTTACATCCAGGACATGGTCAAACCCTACGTCACAACCCGCACTCTCCGCTTTGCATCTGCAAAACTACTCGTCCCTCCCTCACTGAGAGCAAAACACTCGACTAGATCACGACTCTTTGCTGTCCTTGCGCCGAAATGGTGGAAGGAGCTCACTGATGATATCAGGACAGCAGAGAGCCTTCACATCTTCCGCCGCAAACTAAAGACACACCTTTTCAGACTCTACCTCGAATAAAGACTAACAAATTGTAGCACTTAAATTGTACTTGTAACGTCACTCATCTATAGCAAATTGTAAATTGGCTTATTTGAGGAAATTGCACTTTCTTGTTTCTTGTTCTCCTGTGTTTGCACCCTATGGTTGAATGCACTTATTGTACGTCGCTTTGGATAAAAGCGTCCGCTAAATGACATGTAATGTAATGTAATGTAGTATGGGTGTTCTATCCATCTTTCATATTCATCTCCTATGTTTTGTTGACCAATCCATCCAACATCCTACTTTCTTCCCTTTCTCCTACTGTACCTACAGAACAGCCTACAGGGGGCAACCTCACTTGAAGTGAAACAGACATCGTTTTAGTGCATTTCCTGAAACAACTGATGGTTTTTCCTTGTGTTGGTAGGCCCTGGGTGCCTCTTAAACCTTTCAACAAGAAGGGTAGTGCAATAAACTTCAACATGCAGTTAACATTAATGATTCCAACAATTTGTCTAGGTTAGGAAATGATTGTGGTTTGTATTGAATAAGTATTACCTTTCTTAACTTATGCTCATACAGTTATGTACATAACTTAGTAAGTTAACAAATTTAGCGTTGTTTTGGTTTCACACAGGACAGTCTCCAGAGTAAAAGTCAGTTATGTCGAAAAGTCAGTTAAAAGAAGAAGGCAGCAAAGAAGCAGTATTGTGTTCATGAAATATTTGGATTTTTTAATAACACCACAAGCAAAGAGTCACTACCTGTCAGAGTCCATTGGGCTTGAAGCTTTACCCAACGTAGTTGTGACCAATTAATTTAGTGATATCCAAAAGTGCTAGAGAGAAGTCAGATTACCAAAGTTTGTTCTGATTTTGCCATTTCTTAAAAAAGCAGCTGAATCTCTTCTCATCCAGGGGCTGTCTGAAGCTGTGAATGCAATGGGATCTGAGGTTTGAACTTGTGCATTGTGTAACAGATCGACATGGACCACTCATATATGGGACAAGGACTTTGTGATTAATCCTTGTCTGTAAGCCTCTCTAACACATCCAGACTCTGTGGCTCTTCTGAGTGACGTCCTCATCCACTCTGTCCACTATCACCTCATAATGACAGCACATGAGGAGGGACAGGCAGGAGCACACCACTCCAAAGCAATGTGACACAGACATTCATGGTACCAACAATGTCTATGACCATAACCTCCCCAGTAGATAACCCGAGTGCTTTGTGTTCTATGCTTATCAACACCACCAAGACCAGTCCAGAGTCTTCCTTTTTGCTTTGTTTCAGTACCATGCAACATTATCAGGAATCAGGAAACATTTATTGCCAAAATATGTCAAACATACAAGTAATTTGTCTTGGCGGTTGGTGCGTGGCAGTAGACAGTGTAACAATAGACAAGGCAGTGCACAAGTAATAAAATAAAATAAAATGCTAATGCAATAGGTTAGTAGAACAAGGCTATGGGTTAGTATAAAATAAGAGAATGAAGTTAAAGTTAAAAATTAAAAAATATTTAAAAAGTTACAAAATATTAAAAAATAAAGTACACTATCAAACAAGTGACAAAGTGCCGAGTGACGCTTGTTCGATAGTGCACTTTATTTATTTATTTTATGCCAGAAGTAAACCAGCACAGATGTTACTTTTCAATGCAAAAACTCTAACAATAACCAATTGCACTAATCCACCGGCTTATCACACAAAAGGTCTATCTGTATCCTTACAAATAAATAGCATCACAGCGAGGTGGCATCAGGAGGGCTATCTGGTAAAATACTGAAAGTTAGAGATTACATGGCTGGTGTGACTTATTTATCAGGCTTATCAGAGGATATGATGTGTTCGTATCATCTATGACAACTTTCAAAAGCGTACAAAGTGTGCTGTGAGTCAGTCTGGTTTTGATTTATTGATTCTTACAACGTGGCGTGGTGATATTATGACTCACATTCACACAATGGCACTGGTCATTGGCAATATGCTTTGTTTGAATATGTTGTCTATTTATTTGAATTCTTGAGAACATTTCGAAATAAAAAAAACTAGCTTTTACTAAATGACTCCCCCGCTGTTTCCTCATGAACATGCCGATCACAGCACTGTAAAACCTGTCTCAGATCCTTGAGTTTGGCGAACACCGCCGTCATTATGACTTTGAATTTCGTTACGTAGTGATGTCCGCTGCGCAAATGTCTAATAATATCTATTATTAGACATTATTAGACACCTCTATTTTAATGGGTCCATGTTTGATACGTAACGTAGATGATTACTGGCATAACCTATTTACGTTCAAAGGCATAGCAGTTGTGCTTTTTGACGTGAAGAATACTGGATCGAAGTGCGCATGCGCAACATGTTTTTTTTGCTTGTCCGCAATGAATGGACGGCAAAAGCACTGCTTATTCTACCATTTCTTTGTATTTGATTATGCGTAACGGCTGCATTTGTCAACGTAACATCCAAAACATTACAATTGGAATAACACACATATTGCATATATAACTATAAGAATAAACAGTAAAAATACGAACACAAGTTTATTAAATACAATTATGTAATAAGTATTTTTACGTTTGAATTTTGTCAAGTTAGGCAGTGCCTACCTTGCCTACCCTGACTTCACGTCACTGATTTAATCTAACCATATGGCTGTACCTCCACACTATTTGGTAATCTGAGGCCCACCGATGGAGAACATTCTGCGCTCAGCGAGGGTCCATTTGACTGTAAATTCGACATGATTTACTAAATGAAGACCGGGTCCAAAAGTTGTGAGTTTGTCTCGTTTTTTGATTGTAATCAACCACTTCCGTTTTCTCGCTTTTGGTTTCAAACAAAAAACGAGAAAACAGTGTTTTCGATTTATATTTTTTTTTACAGAAAAAGAGACTATTAAAGAACGAAATACGAGAAAACAGTGTTTTTGTTCAATGGTTTTTATGGTAAAACGGACTGTCTAAGAGTACACGGACCCGGCCACCACGCTGCACTTTGGTTTAACATTAAAAGAGGAAATCGCAGCCAGAGACTGAAGTCCGTCTCCCACACACTTCAACAAGTGCACTTCCTCTTACGCTGCACTTGCTGCTTCATCGTCACAAACAGCAGGTTAGACTGCCATTGTGTTTCAAGCAGGACAACATTTTTAGCCCTCACTGAACAAATGCAAAAATCTAAGTTATGACAAAGTCACAGCATTAGAACCCGATCCAATGTCATCTGCTCACCCGAGACAAATGGACCAGAAGTCAGAGACAGCGCAGGTGGTAAGTGCGCTCCTTCTATGAACCATGCTCTCCGCGTTTTCAGTGCAGTTCAGTTCTTACTTTACATGTTTATTGATAAAAATATAATGAATGAAGGATTTAGGAAAGAACAAACAACACAGTAACATTTAAGAATGTGGAGAAAAGAAAGTATCCTTTATTGATCCCTGTGGGGAAATGATTGTCTGCATTTAACCCATCTCACACAGTGGGAGCAGTGTGCAGCCGTAAAGGCGCCCGCGCAGGGTTAAGTGTCTTGCTAACGGACATATTTCCTCTTGTGTCACATGTCACACAAGAGGAATGGAGAACTTTGATGTTAACAACTTCACTTTTACTTCCTGTGGTAAGAATTACATGACGACAGCACACCACTTTGTTATTGAGTAAAGGGTGTGTGTGTGTGTGTGTGTGTGTGTGTGTGTGCTTTTCTTCACTTGAGGGTAATCTCATGCGTAAAGACATGAAATGTACAGACATACATTTTATGTACTTGTAATCTGCTTCAAAAACAGAACTGAGTAACATTGGCAAAGTGAGATTGCAAAGGACACACATACAATAAAAACATTAGAAGCATTAACAAAATGAAATGACAAGCAAGCCAAGAGATCTGTATCTGAGTATTTTAGGGCAGACTAAGTGAGGTCTAAGGCCGATGGGTTTTGAGTTACCAAGTTGGTATAATAAAATGGTAGAGCAGGTATGTGGACAAACTAGAGGTGATAGGTAGGATGGTTCCAGGACTAGTTTACTACCTTAAAGTGTGATCTATGTACAAGGAGTCAACATAATAAAACAACAAACAAAAATCCCAAAAATGTGATTACATTTTTTTTTGCTTTGGTTAAGATTGAGAAATACAAGTTACTGTGGTTTGAGAACTAAACTATTTAAAAATAAGTGCATGGCCTATTAAATTCAATATGGTTTCCCCCTCCTCCACTACATGACTTTGTGTACAGTCGCTCAGTATATTCTATCAGATCCCAAAAAATATCATCCATACGGGTGCACCATTCCATTTTGCTACACGGCATTTGGGCAATAAGCTTTTTCTGTTTCTTCTCAAATCAGTGGAAAAATGTGCATGAGGTGGTGAAGAGCTGCAGCTCCATCAGCATGTTTAGAAATATTTTCAAAAATCCGTTTGAAGCTGCTCAGCACTCGAATCATTGAGCAGAATGTTTGTTTTTAATGTGCTACTCTAAAGCTTTGAATTGTGGGTATTTTTTCTTACCCTGTACTGTTGTTATTGTGTTATCCCTGTTATGAGCTGTCATGGGGCACTTATTTATAAAACACTTAAGTAAATGACAAGATGATCTATTTAGTTATTTTTAATTCCTGTAGCCGCTGGGTAAATAGACAGATAATCAGAATCCCCAGAAAAACCTTATTGATATTGATTACACCACTGGCACTCAGCCTTGGAGGAAGAATGAAAAATGAAACATCGCTAACGTCAGAATTAAGAAGCTAAAAGAACATTTATTGCAAGGTAATGTGGGTAGTAATAGAGCATATAATAAAATCACATAGTTTATTGAATAGAAAGCAATAAGTCAGAGAAACACAATGCAATTCCGTCACAAAAGGGTGTGTTCCCGTGGAGTCAGTATAGAAATGTCAGCCTATATTGTGTAATGACAGGCCCGGTCACTATAGCGACTGAGGCCATCTGTTCTTTGAAGTGAAAGATAAGCCAGAGGAAGGACAAGTGTGCACAGGTCTACAAACACTTTAACCACCCAGAGGCCTCAAAAAACATTTAGATTTTGATGGCCTGATAGGCTTATTCTAGGGCGTTCCTGTGCCATGACCGGAACTTAAAAGCAAATGTTTAAGCTAAGAAGAAGAACGCCAATTGCACTAATGGCCAGAGAAGAAAACTGAATTCTAAATTTTACAAACTGATATTACAAATACTTCAGACGCTGTCCACTAACTCTGCATCGATGCATTCCATTTGTACTCTGGTGGTTTATATTGCCGGGGAGTTTTCCCATAGGGCATCATAATATCCTGTCATTTTGGCCGGTTATAAATAGTGGCCGTGTCTTCCCAAGTAGAGCCGATGATGCTCATATCAAGTTTCTTGCAGTGCGAGTTTCCAGTTGAGTATTCAAACCAAGCAACAATATGGGCTTGTAGCTCCTTATGTTCTGTCATACAAAAACAAGTGAAAATGTAATTAATTAATTAATACAAACTAAAACACACTTGTTGAGACTTGCTTATAGGAGTAGCCTACCATAGACGGTATTTCAGGAGTGCATGTCACGTCACCCATTCACGGGTGAATTGACGTTTTGAAGCCTTGAATTTGGTGATCCCGTCACCATCCTTGATGTCGGCATATTGATTTTTTTACAGGCAATAAACTAAAGTCACCATATTTCAAATGTGGGGAGGAGTGAGGTAGATACGCTGTACAGTATACAGCTCTGGTAGTGGCATAACATGTCAATCACAGAAAAGCCCGCCCTAAAGCATACTGCTGGTCTATTTGACTCTGGACCATCATTTACTAAATGAACATCATGCTGCATTGAAGGAGACTTGAAACTAGAGAAAATTAGACAATACACTCACATTTACAATATTTAGTGAGGGAATAAATAAAGAGAAAAGTACATTTTCTTATAGACTGTACAATTAGATTTATTTATATAGGGAATATTCATTGTCAGGTGACAAAGAAAACTCCTTTTCAAAATGCCAACCATCAGTTCAGACATGTTGGATCATATGTGAAAAATGGTGACCTCACAGTAGCACTATGAAAGGTCAAGAGGGTCACAAGAATAATTAGGAAGCAGAAGCTGTTGGGGTACAGATAATACAATAATTAAAATGCTCCTTTCTATTTTATCAGCTAAATTGAAAATCTAATCTTTCTTACTAGACCTCTCACGGATTATAATTTGCTTCTTAGTTTTATTTTTCATTTAAGCGTATATTTATTCTCCTTTCTCTCAGAATTCGGAGGAGAATCTGTCTCCGAACACCAGAAGGAGTTTCAGCTTCTCATCCTTCCGTCATAAAAGTAAGACAGCGAACCATACAATGCACAGTCACAGACAATACTTCTTAATTAGCCCTTTACTCATTGATGACTCATCATTATTATTGACCTCCACAGAAAGGAGCAATAGTTCTGAAGGGGGAGTGTTCACACGCCGGAGAGGGTTACCGACATTTTCATCAGTACGTAAGACATCGAGAAATGGTAAACAACTCTCTTCAATATAGTTCTATCCAACAATATTCACACACATAACGTGAAAAATCCCTTTCCTTCTGAGGAACAACAACTGGTCAAACCTTGTGGTTTCTTTTCCATTTCTAATCTTAGAGTCGGCATCAAAAGACGACGGTGCCCCGCAGTCGAACTTTACCCAGCACCAGGTGAAGCAGACAGGTGAGTACAAAGGGACAACATGAGCATTGGAGCCTTAGCTCGTCTGTATCAGCTGTTTCATTCAGGCATAACAATCACTTGCTCATTCACCAACTAGCTAAAGGGAATTCCATGCATACATCTTCCTGCATCTTCCTTTTTATGTGCAACGAGTCTGGTGCTGCTTTTTAAAGAAAGGTGTATTGTTCATGATCTTGTTAGGGGAGACTGTCCTCGTTGCCACTTTAATTTCTCTCAAAGAGCATTGCGTTGGATTCCTGCAAATGTCATTTACTACTCATGTGCACCAGGCCAGACATTTTAAAAGAAGGAATATACTGCCGTGCATCCACATTTGGAGTAATATAATAAGAGGAATTTCTATGCAAAGTATTCAGTAAAAAGTATTTAATTGGTCTACCCTTGCAGAAGCTAAAAGAAAATAATATAAGCAACTTAAAGCATTTGATTAAATTAAAATGAAGATAGTATGGGTTTTGAGATTAATCAACGGAATCTGGCAAAGGCTATGCACTTTGCTTTATTGCTGGCCGTATTTCTCCATTTACAGCATGAACGAATAGGACAAGTAGAAGAAAACAGGATCCTACAAAGTTTTCCCGGCTTGCTCTTACTCAATGAGCTTGAGTCACGGCCTGCTGGTGGTTGCTTCACGGTCACAGCGGGGAGTGTTTAAAGCACTACAGACGGGCCGTTCTGTATCTGCTGGCTCGTCGACCTTCTCTGACGTCTTGGAGTCATTTAACTTGCCGTGTGACTACCTTGAATCATAGTACAAGTTGCAAGCAGATGGAGTAGTGCAAACCGCTGTAGTGGTGCTCAGCATTAGAGAAATGCCTTCCGGGCGATCTTTGCGGATCCGACTTGAACGCAACACTACGGACGACGCGGGCGCTGGGTGCACGCTCCAAGCAGCAGAAGCCGCATCAGCCCGCTAAACCAGGAGGCGATGTGTGCGCTGGAATGGAGACGCTAGAGGGCCGCTGCTGGGTTTCTGAGTTCGGCGACGACAACAGCCGAGAAGACTGCGGTGTGTTTGGGGGGTGACGCAGACATGAGCGGGGCGGTAGTAAGGAGGAAAAAGGGACGTGGACTGACAAACTTCAGGAGCAGATGGAGTGAGTACTGGACTTTATCCACTGGGAATTCCGGTACTGACGTGGTATACGTAACGTTAGATAGGACCTATTATTAAATGAGAAAATCCCACCGAAGAAGATAACAAAAATATAATTACGATACTGTTTATATCCCTTCATCCACTGACGTTAACACCTACCGGTGCGTAACCAGCCTGTAGGAGCGTGCGATGGTGTCTCCTAGTCTCATCAAAGTAGTTTGAATCGACTTTTTATTCCCGTGTCCCATTTACACAACGATTGAGTCGTCCACTGTGTGAATCTAACGTTAATCAACGACAAGTGCACCCGAGGGCCCCGGCCTAGTGTCACCTCAACCCTGAACCCTCAGTGACGTCACCTGTTAAACGTCTGAATGTGACGAACTGTAAAGATCTAGAAAGTGTAAATATGATAGGAAAGCACTTTGCCATTATCAATGTGCCATGTACAACTGTGGGTATTTATTTGATCAATTTAAATACCGTTCATACGTTAGTAATCCATCGTTTATAGTTAGTAATGTATAGTCTCTGATTGCATACGTCTGATGTCATGTGCTTTATTTTCCATCAATAATCCTTTATATTTTTGTATAACCTTAAAATTCCGGGCTGGACACCCATGTGTCTTTCTCTTCGTTTCTTTTTTTTAAGGTTGCAGGCCTTCCCACTGAAAACCTGAGTGTTTAAAGTCACATTACAATGAATTGTGGGTAATTGCCTTAGTGACAGTCTGCAGAAATGCAGACTTAAAGAATGGGTTCATGAAGGGCTCAAAATGTCTTAAACAGTATTTGAAAGTGGGACTGAACTAGGCCTAACTCTACGACTTAAAGCTTCACATTTTATTCCACTAACCCTTTGTTATGTATTGGATTCAATCTGAAAATGTGGGTCACTTTGAAGCCCAGGGAGCTGACATGGTCATCACACTTGTCTCTTTGGGTGAAAGGGTGGTCTAATCCGTGGACTACAGAGCCACACACCTTTTCCCCGCAACTGAGCCTGTGTGAGGCTCTTCATGGCTGGCTAGATGTTAAGCCAGGAATGTGGCTGTTGACACTGAAAAAGGGTCCCACTGGTGGGGAAAGACCACCGGGAGGTACAAATTGTCTGAATTTGAGACTTTTTTTCAATGCTGAACTGATAGCTGAGGGTACAGATTGTATTGGAGATCTACAGGTAGCTGCTTTTCTGAATGAGAAATATAATTTGAAAGGTAGTCAGGTAGCTTTGTGTTGTGCATTAGTGAGTGCGCCATTCCTTGTCTCTTAGCGAGTTGGTTGTAACATGTCCAGGAGCCTGAGGGCAGACTGCTGAACCGCTGTGGTTTACACCCTCATCATAGCTGCATGCAACAGCAGCAGCACGTCTCGGCACCAGCATGTAGAAGCTTTAGGTCGCCCTGATGCCGTAGTCAATGCCAATAGTTATCTTCAATAGATTAACTATATTTTCGGGGGTTTCTTGGTTGGTGATTGAGTGTGGACCAGTTCAACTTCAAGACGCTGGGTGTGGAAACACTGCCGTTTCTATTGACACAGTGCAAACACACAGGGTTTGAGTAAGGTGGACTTTAGGCTAAGTAAAAGCTGTTGTTGTGAGGAGCCAGATCGAAAGTGAAACCTGCATGATGTTTTATTTAGTCACCTCTAGCTGTATTCATTCATTCACTCTTTAATCTCTATGATAAACGTGAGGTTATGATTGACAGCAAAACCAACCTTTCACACTCATGAGACTGCAATTTGTGGTGTGTCACCGTTTTGTCATGAAGTTATTCACTCCAGAGCCTCTGTTAGTGCACAGCAGACTTCTCTTCACCAGCAGAGTTAAACTCGTCAAGCAGGATCTAAAAGGTGTTTTCCCAGAGAAGGACACAAGCCCCACCCATGTTTTCCCTCACTCAACTGTGTGGATCCTTTTTAAGAACCAATTGAATTGCAATTTGTTGCGTTGAGACATTATATATTGGCTTTTCTTTCTTTGCAAACAAATAATCATAATAATAGATAGTTTCTGCTTCTTTTACTCTGGCTTTTAGATATCCACCTTTTGAAGCATAAGAAAATATGGATACACTTGAGTATCACAATGTTATCCCCACCATCATGATACGTCCTAAGTTATGCCTTTATTCCAACACAGTAGAGGGAGCTGGATGTTTGTCTGTGCCACTGAAATTCTAGAAACACATTTTCAACAGCGAGGTATCTTTTGCTAAGATTGGGTCGAGAATTGCTTGTTAATATATTTTTTTCTTAAGAAGTTTGGATTTCAACTGCATAAATTGTCCAACATTCTTCAGTTTCTTTGCTGAGGTAGATGGCCTCACCTTCAAACGGAGCTTACAGTATTCATGCAAAGCAACACTAACAGCTACTGGCTGCTTGCCATGTAACCATAGAGACATATGTGTGGTATGTTTTGTCCACACATATCTCTATGAATATTTATCAAACTATTCCACGAAGACGTCTTTGGGGACGCGGCTCAGAAAATGTCTTCCTTCTCTATACCCAATATTATATTATAATATGTAAGAAAATCCTGAGGTTTAGAATGAGAACACCGAAACATGCTTGATGAGGCCATCTCACCCTCTAATCCACAGAGAACAATACATGCTTTTTACTGCTGTACGTATTCAACATGAATTTGTATCTTTAGTTAATTGGTGACTCCAGCCCCCCGCGACCCTGTGTGCAGGATAAGCGGTGTGAAGATGGATGGATGGATAGTTAATTGGTTGACTTATCTGTTTCGATTCCTTGCAAGGAATCCTTCTCTTCCGTTTGTTATTTCTTTCAGTTTATTCGGGAAATTTGCTCTTTATTTGTATTCATTGGATTTCATAAACGCGAGGTATTTCCCTTTTTGCTGTGGGAAATCAGTTTGGTGCCGGACTCTTTGAGGTTCCCATGTATGGTTAAAAATGTCAAACTAAAGAATACTTTCTTCAAATAGTCATTGGATGTAAAAAAAAAACACTAAATCAAAACACTGATGTCCAACACTAATCATAAATGAGTGCATTTACCAGCTTCTTTCAAACGCTGTTCATTTCTTATCTTCCATCAACAATTGTTCTGTACAACGCAGATTTCCCCACAGGACATGAATGCAGCACAAGTATGAAAATTCTTTCCTCAGAGTCTGAAGTAAACAAATGATTCAGCACTGTCTGAGCTGCAGAATACACAGAGCATTAATATGGAAGACCAGTGTTGTTGATGATCGTTGCTCCAGTACATTGTGACTGCCGATCTAGATGGATAACTCAAGGCTTAATCTAGAGTACTTTTGGATATTAAATGCTGTGGTATTAGCTCAATCACAGGAAGGTACCCTCGTTTGGGCAGCAGAGCACAGCAGACATTCAGCACTGCCCTTCAGTTCCTGTTCATTTCAAATCACACGGTTCAAGGATTTGAAAAGAATTCCACACTACATTATTATGTTTATTCGGCAGCATTATGTAACTAGTGCAAATCAAATGGTGAAATAAATGACCGGACTGGGCTCATACTTGTTGCATCTCATACATCTCGCACATGGATTTAGACATTTCAAAGTGAAAAATGAGCAGAAGGGACTCTTGTGTTCTTTATGAAACAAACAAATCCTGGTTCACTCTGTTGGGCCATTCAAAGTCTTGCTGAAACGCTCCTGCACACGTTTTTTCTCGGCTTCGGTTGGAAGTACGCAAATATAACATGACAATATTATTCACAAATGACCGAACAGTGTTTAACAAACTGTCTTTCTTGTATGTTGTCCAGGTGAACCGCCCAAAGATAACCTCATCTCTGATGTGGCTGCTAAACACGGTAAGTGCACATGCTGTATACACTTCATCTTTTGACACTTTGAAGTGTCATTTATAAGAAATATAGATCTTGGGCTGTACAAAATAAAATGAATTGAATTGAACGGTAGTTCGGTACGTATTAGAAAAAATACTAATTATAGACCTGATAGCATGAGGTAAAGCATGACACACGCATGCACTGCCGCATACTGCCATATAAACTATTAAGAAAATATGTATACAATAGAGTCTTTGTTATTAGAGTCTTTGTTTTTTATTGCAGAGATCTGTCATCATATTTCTTTGGGGTATTTACTGCCTGTATAGGCATAAAAAGGAGAGCAGCTATTAAAATATATTCTAGTGACAGAAAAACACTTGACTTGACTCCTGGGCAATATATCAATAATGTAAAGATATATGGCTAAAGCATTTCTCAGCAGGATTTTCCAGCTGCTCAATCATCCTTATCTAATACGTAGTTATTATACAGATTTTGTGGAAGCCAAAACAGCTAACCCTACAATAGAGATATTGTAGGGTTAGATCCCTTGCGTGCCTTTTCACACCTCCTTGCGTGCTTGCGTGCGTCGACTCATTTTTCTAGGCTTGCGTCAAAAGCTACGCAAGCCTCTTGCAGCCCGCAAGGCTGCGATTGGTCGGCTAACTGCATCCTTTCCGAAGTCTCACATTTCCTTTTTCATAGCACAATACCGCCATTATTAAAACGAAGAATGTTTACGAGAGAATGAATCAGATTGAAGAGCTTTTGTCGGAAAAAAATTGTAAATATGTCTGTCTATGAGCAGTGTGTGAAAGGGGCATGGCAACTGCTTGCTTTCTAAGCCTTACTGAGTGTAAGTACAGTACTTTGGATCGGGAACTCCATGGTCTCTTTCTGGCCATTCTGGTTCCTGCTGGAGGCTCTGCAGTTCAGCACATTTGTGGACCACAAGCCACTGACCTTTGCCATGGGAAAGAGCGCCAAGCCATGGTCCGCACCCCAGCAGCGTTTACCACAGATCTGCGGCATATAGGGGGCAAGGAAAATCAGTTTGCATTACATTACATGTCATTTAGCTGACGCTTTTATCCAAAGCGACTTACAATAAGTTCATTCAACCATAGGGATACAAACTCAGAAGAACAAGAAACAAGAAAGTGCATTTTCCTCAAATAAGCCAATTTACAGTTTGCTATAGATAAGTGGCGTTACAAGTACAATTGAAGTGCTACAATTTGTCTTTTATTCGAGGTAGAGTCTGAAAAGGTGTGTCTTTAGTTTGCGGCGGAAGATGTGAAGGCTCTCTGCTGTCCTGATATCATCAGTGAGCTCCTTCCACCATTTCGCAGCAAGGACGGCAAAGAGTTGTGATCTAGTCGAGTGTTTTGCTCTCAGTGAGGGAGGACGAGCAGTTTTGCAGATGCAGAGCGGAGAGTGCGGGTCCAGAGGTTTGACCATGTCCTGGATGTAAGCTGGACCCGATCCATTCACAGCATGGTACGTGAGTACCAATGTTTTGAACTGGATGCGGGCAGCCACCGGTAGCCAGTGAAGAGAGCGGAGGAGTGGATTAGTGTGGGAGAATTTCAGAAGGTTAAAGACCAGTCGAGCTGCTGCATTCTGGATGAGCTGCAGAGGCCGAATGGCAGAAGCGGGAAGCCCTGCCAGAAGAGAGTTGCAGTAGTCCAGGCGTGAGATGACAAGAGCCTGAATCAATACCTGCGCTGCCTTCTGAATGAGAAGAGGACGTATTCTCCTGATGTTGTACAGCGTGTATCTACAGGATTGTGTTGTCGCAGTGATGTTGGGAGTCAGGGAGAGTTGGCTGTTGAGTGTGACGCCGAGGTTCCTAGCGGTCAAAGTGGGCGTTAGCATGGACTTGCCAAAGTTGACAGTCAAGTCCTGGGTCGGAGAATCTTTTCCCGGAAAGAGAAGTAGTTCAGTCTTGTCGTGGTTGATTTTCAGATGGTGAGTGGACATCCACTGAGAGATGTCAGTCAGACAGGCAGAGATCCGTGCCGCCACCTGGGTGTCCGAGTGAGGGAAGGAGACAATTAGTTGGGTGTCATCGGCATAGCTGCGGTAGGAGCCATGCGAGCGAATGACAGCGCAGAGAGTGTTGGTGTAGAGCGAGAAGAGGAGGGGACCCAGGACGGAACCCTGAGGAACTCCAGTAGTAAGAGGACAAGGTTCCGACACAGATCCTCCCTAGTTTGCCGTCGAGGTAGGACGAGAGAAGGGAGAGATCAGAGCCTGAGACACAAAGTTCCTGAAGGGAGGAAATAAGAATCTGGTGGTTGACTGTGTCAAATGCAGCAGAAAGGTCCAAAAGGATGAGGACAGAGGAGAGAGAGGCGGCTCTAGACAGCAAGGAGAGCAGTCTCTGTGGAATGGCTTGCCTTGAAGCCTGACTGGTGGGGGTCAAGGAGGTTGTTATGGTGGAGATAGGAGGAGAGTTGGTTAAAGGTCGCACGTTCAAGGGTTTTGGACAAAAAGGGAAGAAGAGAGACCGGTTTGTGGTTGTTTTCTTCAGAAGGGTTGAGGGTGGGTTTCTTCAGGAGAGGGTTAACTCTTGCCTCCTTCAGAAAATTGGGAAAACAGCCAGATAAAAGTATTGTTATTGAGACTGGTGAAGAAAGGAAGTAGGTCAGGAGCGATAGATTTTAGAAGATGTGATGGAATGGGGTCCACAGGGCAGGTGGTCGGACGGGCAGAGGTTACTAGGGTAAGAATTTGGTTAGGAGACAGGGGGGTGAAAGAGGAAAGTGAGGCCGATAGAGGTGAAGTCAGCGGGACACAAGTAGTAGGAGGTGGGTTTGAGAAAGAGGAGCGTATGTCAGCTATTTTCTTGGTAAAGTACAGTGCATCCGGAAAGTATTAACAGCGCTTCACTCTTTCCACATTTTGTTATGTTACAGCCTTATTCCAAAGTGGATTAAATTCATTATTTTCAGTTTTTTGCAGATTTGTGCAAATCTGTTAAACATAAACAACGAAAATATAACATGTAGCCTACATAAGTATTCACAGCCTTTCCTCAATACTTTGTTGAAGCACCTTTGGCAGCAATTACAGCCTCAAGTCTTCTTGTGTGTGATTCGACAAGCGTGGCACACCTATTTCTGGGCAGTTTCTCCCATTCTACTTTGCAGAACCTCTCAAGTTCCATCAGGTTGGATGGGGAGCGTCGGTGCACAGCCATTTTCAGATCTCTCCAGAGATGTTCAATCAGGTTCAAGTCAGGGCTCTGGCTGGACCACTCAAGGACATTCAGAGAGATGTCCCGAAGCCAATCCTTTGTTATCTTGGCTGTGTGCTTCGGGTGGTTGTCCTGTTGGAAGATGAACCGTCGCCCCAGTCTGAGGTCCAGAGCGCTTTGGAGCATGTTTTCATCGAGGATGTCTCTGTACATTGCTGCATTCATCTTTCCCTCAATCCTGACTAGTCTCCCAGTTCCTCCCGCTGAAAAACATCCCACAGCGTGATGCTGCCACCACCATGCTTCACTGTAGGGATGGTATTGGCGAGATGATGAGCAGTTCCTGGTTTCCTCCAGACATGACGCTTGGCATTCAGGCCAAAGATCTCAATCTTTGTTTCATCAGACCAGAGAATTTTGTTTCTCATGGTCTGAGAGTCCTTCAGGTGCTTTTTTGCAAACTCCAGGCGGGCTGTCATATGCTTTTTACTGAGGAGTGGCTTCCGTCTGGCCACTCTACCGAACAGGCCGGATTTGTGGAGTGCTGCAGAGATGGTTGTCCGTCTGGAAGGTTCTCCTCTCTTCATAGAACAATGCTGGAGCTCTGTCAGGGTGACCATCGGGTTCCTGGTCACCTCCCTGACTAAGGCACTTCTCCCCCAATTTCTCAATCTGGCTGGGCGGCCAACTCTAGGAAGAGTCCTGGTGGTTCCAAACTTCTTCCATTTCCGGATGATGGAGGCCACTGTGCTCATTGGGACTTTCAATGCTGCAGAAATCGTTCTGTACCCTTCGCCAGATCTGTAGTGTTGTTACCTCCGACCCTCCTGCTTCGAAGCTTGTGTCGAAATATGAACCAGTGCAAGGCGAAGCAAATGTACCTGTGCATGGTTCGTTCGCTGTTGATCACGTGATCAGTGACGTCCGAAGCTTCGGTCCAGCTCACAGTGACGTCCGAAGCTTCGGTCCGGCGCACAGTCACGTGACCGCTTCGATTTCATTCAAAATCGGCTTGAAACCGGGTTCGGGCTTGTCGGTTTGATACAGTCAAAGTCAGTGTTGTTGCGAGTAGTAGTAGCAAAGAGCAAATTTACAATGGAACCTGTGGCAAAGAGAGGTCGCTCCGAGATGTGGGAGCACTTCAATTTGATTTCCTCTAACAAGGTTAGCAATAGGCAGGCAAAGTCGGTCATTTGTATTGTGTAATTATGGATGTTTATGTTTTATTTATTATATTTATTGTGTCTGAACCAAACATTCCACTGAGTGAAGACCCGCTAAAATATTGAGTCAAACACAAACATGTGTACCCACATCTATTTGTATTAGCACGTAATCTTTTGAGCATTCCTGCCTCATCTGTGCCGTGTGCCGTGTGAAAATCAATAATAATTTCATGCCCCATCCCATGTGTCCACAAGCACCTCAATATCCTGTCACAACAAACTTGTCAAATTACTGACCTTTCCTCTGTAAATCACTTCCCACATTCCAGATTCAAACAATTCACATAAGTCCCTATGACTGCCATGAAGCACTTGCTGGTATTTTAAATGATATTGCTTACATATAACTCTATATATATATATATATATATATATATATATATATATATATATATATATTCATTCATTCATTCATATACAATTCAAACCCGAAAAACAATAGTTTTATTCATATAGGAATCCATGTATTTATTAGATGATTTATTTATTTAACTTTTCATAATCATGTTCAACTGGTAGGCTATTTTGCGATACAATTGGCTGGAAAGCTTCACTGGTTCTGAAAGCTTCACTACAGATCTGTGCCTCGATACAATTCTATCTCGGAGGTCTACAGATAATTCCTTGGACTTGACTTGGTTTATCCTCTGATATGCACTGTCAACTGTGATACCTTATATCGACAGGTGTGTGCCTTTTTCAATCATGTCCAATCAACTGAATTTAGCACAGGTGGACTTCAATCAAGTTGTAGAAACAACTCAAGGATGATCAGTGGAAACAGGATGCACCTGAGATCAATTTTGAGTGTCATGGCAAAGGCTGTGAATACTTATGTACATGTTATGTTTTCGTTCTTTATTTTTAACATATTTGAAAAAATTTGCAAAAAACAGTTTTCACTTTGTCATTATGGGTTGTTGTGTGTAGAATGTTGAGGAAAATAATGAATTTTCCTCAACATTCCATTCCATTCCATTTTGGAGTACGGCTGTAACATAACAAAATGTGGAAAAAGTGAAGCGCTGTGAATACTTTCCGGATGCACTGTAGTTGACAAAGTCTCCCGGAAGAAGGGTGGAGGAGGACTAGGGGGTTCGAGGAGGTTGGAGAAGATCGAAAAGAATTTTTTGGGGTTAGAAAATTTAAGATTCAATTCTGGATGAGATGAAGTCTGCCTTGCGAGTAGCTGACTGGCAGTTCCAGAGGCCTCCTGTGACGAGGTGCTGGATGTGTGTGGAGCGGATGGGATAGGTGAGAGAGGAGAGGTTACGATAGAGAGCAGGTCTAGCCCGAGGCCTGTAATATCTGCGGGAAGAGATTCGAACAGGTATGGGTAAAGGGGTCAAACATATTATTAAAAATAGCAGAAGCAGGCATTCAGCCCCGCAGACTCCCACGAAAAACTCCCTGGTCTTTGTCCTGCTCGTCTTCGTGCAAGGTTATGCAAACGCTGCGGCTACAGCCTAGTTTATGCTTCTGCATTTTCAGAGCGACGCAGACGCAAGACCCCCTTGCGTGTCCCTTGCATGCCTTTTCACACCTCCTTGCGTCCTTGCGTGTGTCGAGCAATTTTTCTAGGCTTGCGTCGCTGTCGACATTTCCATTTTCATAGCACAATACCACCATTATTAAAACGAAGAATGTTTACGAGAGAACGGATCAGATTTAAGAACTTTTGTCGGAAGAAATGCGTAAATATGACCGCTTATACAAGCCGTCATTGGCGGGTTGTAGAAGCGGGTTGGCTTCATGGAGGGAGATCTCCGCAAACGCCGGTTTGCTGGTCGAGAAGTTGTGGAGGAAAATACGGGACAAATGTGTCCGCGATGAAAAGCAGCAGTGGCGATGCACGGGGCAATAAAGTCTATGATAAATAAATAAACAAAGAAATAGACGTGACTCTCTAGGTCGTCTTCAACAAAACCCGTTACTCCGCCTGTTGTTCTGCCAGTGAATTGCTCTGCAACACACGCAGAACCATGAATTGAAACGAGTGCGTTGACGCAACGACGCAGACGCAGAAGCATGCGCCAGCCTTAGAGCTTCACTCAACCTCTAGTTAAGTACTCCCTCGTTAGTGGAAGTCGGCTGACCACTCTCCCGTCGTTTAGGAGACAAAAGGTTGATTGGCCTCGGCAGAAATGCTTCAAAATGCAAAACACCAATCGCTTTACACCCTAATCAGTGAACAATCACTATGTGGTGTTTTGACAAACAGAGTTTAAGGATTCAAGTCTTTTCTGCTTCAGAAGAGAAGGCAAAACAAACTTGGGTCAAACTTAGCAAAGTTAGGAGGGCAGACTGGCAGTTAACTTAATAGTAGAGGCTAGAACAACAACTGGCACTAAACAACTGAACGCACCAACTAGCAACCAAGATAACTTCAAACAGAGAGAACTGGCGGTAAAACGGAAAAAGCTAAAGCAAATCAGCAATCAAATTAACTTAAAACACTAGAATCAACAACAAATTTAGCACACTAGCTTGGTTTAAAGAAAAGATACTTAGTCCTATTTCAGGTCGCCTGGATGTCTGATGGCCTTGTAGTAGAGATGCATGCTATGAGCTGTGTTTGCAGACTGTCTGTGTGGGGCCAGCACTGCGGCTGTCCAGTTAGGTGGACCGGCCGCCTGCCCCAGAGACATAGCCGGTCAGGTGATTCGGTCCCCGAGACATTAAGGGTTTTGGAGTTAATCTCTATAGTTGGTGAATTCTGGGGGCAGGCATGTAGAGGAGTAGAAGGACCGATTTCACAGGCCCCTTTAAGAGAAATGGGCGTAATCCTGATGACAGGGGAGGTTAAAAAGGAGCAGGACGTGAATGGGGAGAATGATCACACGGTGTAACTAAAAGGAATACTTGCTTCTTTGTTTCTTTCCACGCTGCTACAATATTTTAGCCGCCAACCTTAGCAAATCGGCAGGTCCCTTCAGTTGCTGTGACTTTGAACCAGTAGGGGAAGGGAAGGCTGTCGTGTGGAGGTTTCAGTACTAAGCAGTTTTGGTTTTCTGCAGCAGCCATTCAATCAGATGAAGATGAAGATGAAGGCGGACGACCAGGGGGCCTCAAGAGGATTAGTGCTATGTGGTCCTCCTTCCGCAGGGGCAAAAGAGATAGTGAGTATTCCACCACAAAACCCCATTCACTTTTAAAAGATGTGGAGCCAATACAATACTCTGTTTCGGTTTGATACTGGGGGAAATAAAAGAAAAATCATGAAAAGGTCATTACTACTTCAAAGCTGAACTTATGATTAGCTATGAGCCCGACAGACTCACGTCAAAGGAACCAATTTTACAGGTGGAACTTATCCCCGCTGCACAGCCCAATCATTTTGTAAGGCAAATCAGCCAACTGATCGTAAAACTACTCATTTCTAGATGTGCAAGTGTGGTGGGAGATGCTCCAACAGGCATAAAAACACACTGACACGATGCTGCCAGCCTTAGAAAAAAAGGTCCCTTGCAGTGGCGCTTTTATTTTCAACAAAAAGGAGGAACGCAGCAGGATCCTGGTCTCTGAGCACTGCCTTGCATCCAATTCAATTCATTTTATTTTGTATAATCCAAAATCGCAAATTACAAATTTGAGACAGGGTACACCCTAGACTGGTCGCCAGGCAATTACAAGGCTAACACAGAGAAAACCATTCACACTCTTTATCAACATGACATAATATTATCTGATTCCTGCAATCTAAAAAATATAAAATGAGTCAAAACAAGTGTCAAATGTCTGACATCATACTTTAAAGGAGAGTGAAATTGCAACTTCACTATAACCTGTAGACCAGTGGTCCCCAACCACCGGGCCACGGGCCTGACATATTCCCCACGCGGCACCAGGCGAACACAGAGCGCGCGACTACTCCCCCCCCCTCCCCCTGTCGGCCGTTACGCCCGCAATGACTACTACCCCCCCGTGGGGTCTTTTGACCCGTAAATAAGTCTGATCAGTCTCCTGATCAGGGGCCTGTAATACCTTCCATCTTTATCATTGTGGTAACCCTCGATATGTTATCCGATTTCTGTTTAGAAGGCAAAGACCCTGACACGACAGAGGCGATGGGCCCCATAGTGGCCGAAAACACATCCAAGCAGCACCGCTACGTCAGTGGTCAGTACTTCTTTGAGTATCTGGTGGTGGTCAGCCTAAAGACGAAAGACAGCAACAGCTACGAACCTCAGATCACCTACCAGTTTCCAAAGGTCAGTCTAATGGTGCAATGTAAGTAGGTGAGCTTCACAAAGCAAACCTGGGAGGATTTAAAGGAGGGGGGACCGAATACTAGTGGAAAAGGAAACCTCCATATGGAGTTGCACTGAGTAATTTAAGATTATATATATATATATTATATATGAGCAGAGGTGTGCAGCCTGACGGTCTGCTCACCTCTCCTCAGTAGATAGTCTGCTTTGCCCTTTTTATGCAGTGCGTTAGTGTGATCACTTCAGTTTGTTGTTCTGGATGGTCTCTGTTTCTGGAGGAGAGTGAGTCTATCATCAGATTCTTGGAGAATTTTGCACGCAACAAATTGAGGGAAGCTTGCACTTTGTGTGTCTGATGTACCTAAATGATTTTCAAAGACCAGATGTGTGTGGTTGTTGCTTTCAGAGAGATGGTATGGCGAGGTTTCAGAAGGAGGAGGAGGAGAAGACTCTAAAGGCAATCACTCTCTTCTGTTTCCCAGAGGGAATCAACTGGGCTCCTTTGACAGAATACCACAGGTACAACTGCTTCTCTGTCAGCTGCTTTGTCACTTTGATAACGTTGGTTCCTGTATCCTAGTTCCAGCTAGCTATCTTCCTTCCCTTTGCTATTTTCCAGTGAGACTTTCTCTTTTGTTCTGACTGAGATTGATGGCAGCAGGAGGAACGGATACTGCAGGAGGTTACTGGTCAGTGTGTAGACTGAAGTTGTCTTCACTGTCACCATTCAGATATTATTCTTCAGTGTTTGTTTAACGCACCTCTCCTTTCTTTCTCCAATCTGAAGCCTGGAGGCAAAGGAGCTCGACCACCGGAGGCTTACTGTATCATCAGCTCGCTGGCTTGTTTCGGCCTCTTCTCAAAGGTGTGCTCAACTGAACTTTCCTAAATCCTTCACTGACGAAACCTGGTTGTACTTCTATCAAAACATCATGAGTTTCCAAAATACTAACCAGTAATTTAAAAACTATTGGAAACAGTTGGTGTATTATGTTAATGGCCTCTACTTAAACTGCACAATCAAAAGCTGTTCATGCTGTTGGCTTTATTCATCCCAAGGTTCAACACTCGTGTTTCCAGAATGGAGAGCCTGTGATCGTTGGCTATTAAGAATTATGGAAATGTCATGTTGCCAAACAAGGAGACTGGTGTCTGTCTGCTTTCTGGGTGTATAAAGATAACTGGTTGCATTGTTGGATGCAGAGCCTCGTTCTTTTCCTATGAATGCACATGAAGGAAAGGAAATTGGATAAAATGACCTGAATTTTCCAGTGATGTGCATCCATGGGCCCATAGAGCATGCGCAGTAGCGCTTCCTTTAGCCAGCCTTGTTAGCTTTTTTATTAACAGAGGACAGAAAGAAATTCTGGTTTTGGCTATTTTTGGATTATTTCATTTTACAACTTTATGAACGTAATAACACTGAGAATGGAAAACAAACAATAACAGAACTTTGTTTGTATCTCATGACTCGTGAAGCGCCTCCCTTGGATACATGGATGCTCTTCTAGTGCTCAGTTCACCGCAGTAATAGTTGACTATTGTGTAGTCTACTAGTACTATGCTACTATTGTATAGTACATTAACTTAACCTACATATCCATACATCTGGAAAGATTTGCCTCAAATGAACCTAGAGGACACTCTTTCCTTGACTTCAGTTTCTCTATATGCTATTCAGAGCGTTAATATAGCAGCAACCAGTCACCTAGTCTATAAAAAGGGCAATCAGACTTTACTTGTAGAACTTGAGAGTTAAAGAAGCTTTGGTCATGTTGCAATTCCTCTGTACCATATGATGACTGAACAGATATTCGACGAGGTGGAGAAGCGGCGTCAGATCTCCATGGCCATGATCTACCCATTCATGCAGAAGCTGAGGGAGGCTCCATTCCCAGCTCCGGGGAACACTGTGGAGATTAAGAGCTTCATTCCTGAGTCGGGCACTGAGGTCAGACTTACACCCTTCCTTCTTCTCGTAGTTAGTCAAAGGATTGTTTACTTTTAAACATAAACTTTAATGATTGAGACCTAGCTAAGGTTTACTGAACTTTAAAACTAGTCCTGATGAGACCAAACTATTGTTTGGGTGTGTTTTGTTCTCTCCTAATCATCCATATGCAACACAATTACATAATCCGATCCATAAGAAAAGCTATATTTTATTAAGACTAGTGTTCTTTTTTTCACAGCTGAAATATCCAAATAAGTCAAAAAAACTAAAGCAGTTAAGTGGTTCCATATTTGTGATAGTAGTGGTGACTCTCCCCCAGATTATCCGTCTGACCCGGCCGCTGGATTCCTGGCTGGAGCATGTGAACTTCAACACGCTGTTTGGCTGCCTGACAGACGAGGAGGTTCTACTGGTTTTTGCCGCCGCCGTCCTGGAGAGACGGATCGTCTTCATTGCTGATGAACTGGGGTACGATGTACACTAATGCACTCACAGACCTGATCAGCTGTAGTCTGCACCGCTCGTGTGCCAAATGTCCTGCACAAAGAAAAATTTTGCAGATGATCTTTTTAACAGGACGTCAGCTGTGCATTGAGCCAATTACATATCCACTAAAAGTATTTTAAAGGTGGAGCGTCTTCTAAGTTTACAACTGAATCTGTCAAAACCATGTATGCATTACACGCCCCTCTCAGTTGATGCCCTGCCCTGAGTTATTACTGTACCGTTATGCGACGCTTTCAGTGTTTTAATAGCAATAAAAAGTGAACTTTTATGATTCAACCAACTGAGCTATCACACCTGGACAGCTGCGTGAAACACTTCTGATATCGGCTCCCTTGTCTCCCCACAGCACATTATCCCAAGTCATTCATGCTGTAGCAGCCCTCCTTTACCCGTTCGTCTGGCAGCACACCTTGATCTCCATTGTTCCGGAGATCCTGATCGACGTAGTGATGGCGCCCACCCCCTACCTGCTTGGAGTCCAGAAACGCCTGCTGGACCAGGTCACTGACCAGGGTGACGTGAGTAGTGATGGAGAGCACAGCTAAAGCATGCTTCATGTAGAAAGTACAAGTCTTATTCTGTTTTTTTTTGTCTTTCTGTGACAGCTTCTGGTGGTTGACTTGTCTGTGGATAAAAAGACAACCTTTATTGCTTCAGTAAGTGTTTCATCAAAAATCATCAACCAAAATCATCCTTTGGTTATGAATTGTCATTGTAAAATTCTATTCAAACATTTGCGTGAAATTGTCTTCCAGGTCGGTGATGAAAGCTCAATTCTGCCACCGAAGCTCCAGGCTGAAATATTAGAGGCTCTAAGTAAAAGACAAAAACCAACAAGTGAGTAAAGTGCAACCCAAATCAAATTCTGGTCTATCAGTAGAGACTAAAAATGTACTTTTTTGTTTCAGCGGTAGAGGAGATGAATCGGGTTGTGTCTGAAGCCTTCCTGCTCTTCTTTGTGAAAACTGTGGGCCACTACGGCTCTTACGTAAAGCACCGCCGCGCCGGAGAGCAGGGTGTTTTTGAAAAGAGGAGTTTCTACAAAGCCATCGATTCAAAGACCACTCGACACTTTGTCAAGAAGTTCCTCCAGACGCAAACGTTTGACCTATTTATCCAGGAGGTGGAGCAGCAGACTGGACCGCAGCAAGGTGATGGCTGGGAACAAAGCATTTGACTCAAAGATAGATTGAGGGTTCAGGTCACCTTGACTTTTAAAAAACTGGCTTTGTGCAAGCTCACTGCCCATCTCTTCTCAAAACATTGACCAATCATAAAATGTAGGTCATTGCTGCCCACAGCTGGAAAAGAAACTAGAAGGTCACTTGTAAACCAAAACTAACTAATTTGATGGGACTCATACTATGGGATATTGGCAGTGATATTCTAAGTAGGCTGCTTTAGCTTCAATAATTTCCTGTGGGTATAAAACCATTTTGTTTGTGAGTGTACTAAAAATACTAGTGTATATATACTTCACACTGTGTACAGGTAGCAGCAGTGTTTTCACAGTATCCACCATGTTTTGCAGTTTAGAAATCAAAAAAAAGACCAGGAGTAGGAAGGTTTGTGTTGCCCCGAGAATTAACTAACTGACCTTAATGTAGGACCATTTCCATAAACCTTAAATCTGCTGATGATCATTTTTGACATCAGTTCACAACATTAATAAACAGGAAGACTTGTGTTCAATCCTTTTTACAATCATGTTATTGAGCCTCTCAATCTGCGCTCATGTTAAAACAACAAAGTGTTTATTTTCTGTCTGGTGCACTGACTCTTGGTCCTTTTTTGTCCTGTAGGAATATTTCACAAGAAGATCCTTGAATACCAGGAGAAGAAGAAAAAGGAGAAGACAAAGAAACGCTAAGATCCTGGCTCTATATAAGGGAGTCCATAGGAAAGCATGTGAATGTTTCACTGTGTGTTTGATGTCCTGTGTTAGTTTTTGGTTTGGAACCAGTGTGTACCGATGTGTGATTTACTGTATGTCGCTGCTATTCTGTGAAGCACTGGCAGAATGAGAGACTCTAGTTGTATGTGTTGGTTCTCAGCCTGTGATCTGATGAGTAGGAAAATAATGGCATATAAAGATTAGTTTTTTTTAATCATACACCCGCAGTCAATGTCTTTTAGGCATGGCGCCCAATGCCTGGACTTCTGTTGTGTCTTACTAAAAAAAGAACTATGTTCTCAGCTGCAATATTCAACATACAGTTTCCCTTTATGGATATTGTTAATTATATAATCGGAATTGGCTTTAGCAACCAAGTAAGTGTGTCCGTCTTGAGTTTTGCTCTCGATGTACACCTATGGGGAGGGGGAAGTGGTGCATGGAGTGCGCAACTTCTCCACCAACTCACACACACCCAAATACAACTATAACAATGCAAGGAGATGCAGGAGAGGTTCAAATTGTCATCGAATGAAACTTTGAGGCCGGCTGATGGAAGCCGGTGGCACCGGCCTCACGACAGCCATCACTTTGGGCTTTTACGGTTCATCAGCTAGAACCATAGCCTTTAAATGTAATGTACAATTAGGCAAGGAAAATGTCAAAAACGATACAGCACTATGAAAGAAGAATAAAGCACTATCAATAATGTTGAAAATTATGCTACAAACTTTGAAGGGTAGTTCTTCTGAAACTGAAGAGAAAGAAAACATGTTTCAACATGTTTTCTTCCCATAGACAGGTAACGGCAATGATCGACAATGCGATCAACAAAACGGCAAGGTTAGATTTTATATGGATATAAAAGATTGCATATCAAAGCATGTGCTATGGTGTGTTCTTAGCGTTTTTTTGGCCGACAGGAGGCCAATGTTTAGGTGCATAGCTCCACCTACTGTACAGAATTATACAGAATGTAGAACTTTGTTCTGTAATGTACTTTCCAGTAGAATCAAAGTGGGTTTTAATGGTGTGTGAGCAGCTGGAGGACCACATAGAAGCTCATGAGAAGCAGCTCTGCCTCCTCTGATGAGTATGATGCCACACAAACTCCCAGAGTAAGGAAACACCAGACAAACGACATTCTCTGTGCACTTTTTCATTTCAAGTTCTAGATTGTTCTAATATATAATATCCAGCATTAGCCTTTTTTAAATTAATGGTAGATGATACTGTAAATCAGGGGTCTCAAACTCAAATCAGCTGCGGGCCAGATGCAGCCCACTTCAACCGAACGCGGGCCAGACTAGCGTCCGAACGGCATGGTCGACAATAACACAACTTAACACTCACTTTCAAAAGCAGTCATTGAACCCCACCCTGGGGGATGGGTCCGAATGAGACTACAACACTAGTCCTCCTTTAACTCAGCGGGGGAGACCTAAGGTCATGTGACCGTGGAATTCCTTTATAGCCAAACGTGAAGTTACGTGAATCGAAGCTGCGTAGTAATGGACGGAGACGCTCGTCGGTGACGTCAGATGCTTCATGTGTTGTTAGTGTGAGTCGTAAAGGAAAACTTTCTTAAACGAGCGATGCTAACGGTTAGTCACATGATCACCTGCGCGAAAGAGGGCAGGAAACTGAATTTCACCCTCCTGCTCTCTGCACCTCGGCCGACACACACGACCCGCCCCCCATGTCAGTCACATGCATGCCACGTTCACTGGACAAGCACACAGTAGGAAACCAGAACATCATAACATGTCCCACACAGCAGCTGACAGTGGGGTTACAGTATAAAACTTGCGGGCCGCACTAACATTACACTTTCATATTAAGGATGGGGCCACAAAATATCGTCCCGAGGGCCGCAATTGGCCCGCGGGCCGCGAGTTTGAGACCCCTGCTGTAAATAATGTAACAGAATGCTGTGAAACCACTTGACACCTGGATATGCACATGATTAGGACTTTTTTCCACATGCTACATTGTTATTTCAATAATATTATAAATTTCTTTGACTCTTTAAAATACCATACTATGACTTTGTTATGCCCTTCTTCAAAATACTGTATCGTGAACTTTTCTGACTGCTCAGATGTACGACACTGATCATTTGAAATACTACACGATTACTTTATTACCTTTTTTAACCTATGACTTAATTATCACTTTTCCAGCATAGGATAGTCTATATATTGAATAAGGCCACAATACATTTTTATGACATTTTCAGAATACTGTACAGTTATACTTTTAAATATCATGCCATTACTGATATTTATTATTACTCCATTGCTGCTCCCCCAGCAGACCACCAGACACTGACATCATTGGTTTACATTAATCAACACTTTTTTACTACTTTTTCTTGTCTTTTTTTTGACAAATATGAGTATATTCAATATATACTAGTATTCAATTACTTTTAAAGATTTTTATCTTAACTACTATTGTATGCTTAGGAGGTTTAGTAATTATGAACGCAACTGCCCCGGCATCAACACAGACAGTCTCATATGGACGTCTCTAAGAACTGTTTTGTTCAAATCAGCATTTAGAACAAGATACATTTAGATGCAACATAAAAATAGATGATAATGAATAATGATAACAGCAGGCACGACTCCACTGTCCATGGAATGATACTTCCTACACATTGTAGGAAGGCATAAGGTAGCTGTAGTGAAGAAAAAATAAATCTGAATAAATAATGCGATACAAATGGTTTGTAATACAACCAAATTACTTAGAAAAAGAATTCCCTTTCCTAAGAAGTCAGTTTGACTAGATGTACTTCCTGCACTGGCCTCTGGGTGGCGTGCTGGTTCAACCAGGTTTGGTGACGCAACCATTGGCAGAGGAGAGGAAGAGAGGGCCAGAGGACGGCAGATACCGCACCTTCAACCAAGGTAAGTGAACAAAGACCAACTATACATAATACAAAATGAAGGATCTACAGGACAGTATATTTCACTTTTTCTTTACTAAATGGATTGTGGACGAGCTATGTGCCACGATGTTCTATTTAAAGTCAAAGGACCCAATTTACTTTAGTAGATAAGTAGCTAACGTTTACTAGCTAACTTTCCCTTAGCCATTGGGATTTGGTAACTTCAAGTTGTCAAGTTTGTAAAAATGTAAATAGTGTTTTTTTTAGTTAACACTTTCAAAATAAAACGCAAACTAACAAATATGAACTGAAACACTCTTGCCTTTAAAAAGTGGCAGTCTTATTTTGAAGGACATATCCCCTGTTATTTAAACACCATCTGGGTGACTTGATGGAGATTGGAACTTTAATAGCTAACTAGCTAGCCGTTAGCAGATTCCAGCATTTGTTTAGTATCTGTTTGAAGAAACTACGCAACCTTTAAAAATACTTAATGTGTTTCAACCAGGACAACGTCAAAGTACGTTGAGTTTTAAGTTGCATTACTCTCTGTTTATACTTGTTAACTTTAAGGCAGCTGGTTAAGCACGTATTGCTGCGTTGACACCGAAACTAACAACTTGTAGCTAACGTTAGCTACGTGTCGTTGACACTGAGCACATCGGTCTGTATTTGATCAAATAAAACTAACCAACTTCTTCATTTCCCTTTTCTGTCTTGTCTGCGTGTTATGGAGGACCAAGCAATTATCTAGATTTAAGTATGTCTCAAATGTAACTTACGGCGTTACACTTAAGTTACACATTGCTAACGTTGACGCTAAATACATTTTATGTTTCCATATGTAAGTGAAGTAACTTTCCAGTTGTACATTTTCTAAAACGGCCAACTCCAGCTTCGCTTCTGGCTAGGCTTATAACCAGACAGTCTTTCTAATCAAAACGGCAACTGAGAATGTTTTATACCAATAAGAATGTGGTTGTAAGCTCTTTTGAACATTTTGGTATCTCATCAAACGCATGCTAACGTCAATTGAACTTGTGGCTGTATTTAAATATGGAGAGTTGAACATTGCTCACAAAATGGAAATTCCTCTTAAATTGAATGCATATAATGAGTGTTTCAGGCCACATGTGTCATAATTGAATTCGCACGGGTACATATGATCACAGCTAGAGGAAGTCGTGCTCAGTAAATAGCCGTTACTGATTTACAAAAGAGTCTGCTCTTTGTTTTGAATTGACTGCACAGTGTTGCAGGTGTGAATGCGGAGTGCAATTATTCCAGTGTTCAGACATAGTGTAACATCTTTTAAGGGCCCAACTGTAAATGTTTCTCCTCGTGTGACTCTCCCATCAGTCCTTGCACAAATCTGATTTCCCCATAATTTCTTCATAACTGCACAATGTTATCAACACAGCTCAGCAAGATGCTTTCCTTCCCCTTTTTCTGGGTCAACAGTCATCTCATAGCTCAGTTTTAGAGCTCAACTCATTATCCCAGCCATCCTGTTCCTAGCTTGGTGGCAGCGATCTAAATGGACATGTGTTTCCAGGAGTGTGTACTGACTGGGGGTGCATTGTGCTGTGTGTGTGTGTGTAGGTAAAGCATGGCAATGACTGGCCCCAGCTCGTGCTCCTCCATGAGTAACCACACCAAGGAGCGGGTCACTATGGCCAAAGTTACCCTGGAGAACTTCTACAGCAACCTCATCGCCCAGCATGAGGAGAGAGAGATGAGGTAACGTCTACATGCTTCAGATCCACACATGTCATGTTTCAGCACAGCACGGTGACCCGGAGGAACCCACGCAGACACGGGAAGAACATGCAGACGCCTGATAGATGGATGATTTTGAATTTAATTTGTAAATACAATGCATCATTTCAAAACCTAATCGTTGTTTTTCTTCACATTGTTTTCATTTTATTGTCACCATGATGGATGTGATGGGGTGTGCCGTGCACGCACAACTTTTTTGCTAGGAACCGTGGTAATGGCCATCTTGTGTCCTCAGGCAGCAGAAGCTGGAGAAAGTGATGGATCAAGAGGGCTTGGCAGATGAGGAGGTGAATGACAAACACACCTGTGCAGTGTTTTCCCAGTATGCTCTGCTGGGAATTCACTCAGTTTTTCTCAGTCTCTGTGTTGAAAGACAACACATGTTCATGAAGCATTCTTTTGGTCACAAAAGTTTTAACGGTGAATTTCTTTAGAAATACACAGATGTTAGAGCATCCCAACTCAGTGTTTCCCCTATTATTATTAGGGGATGCCACACCCTCTTTAAAGGTCAGGTTAATTTTGTTTAATTACATTTTCTATCCAGTGCCAGATCAAAACAGAAGTCTTTTAAAATTACCTTGAAGGACCACTCCCCTTCTGAAAAGCTGGGGAAAACAGCACTTAATGGTGTGTTTGAAAAGTGATGTCTGCTTTTCAGAAACGTATCCGCCGTTCTCAGCATGCAAGGAAAGAGACTGAGTTCTTGCGTCTGAAGCGGACTCGACTGGGTCTGGAGGACTTTGAGTCCCTGAAGGTGATTGGCCGGGGAGCGTTTGGAGAGGTAAAGGCTGATTCGTTTATACATACCATCAAACACACAATGTCACAAAGCAGTGAAGATACATCTCTTAAAGTGTAGCTACCAATATGTCAGCGTGAGTGTTGTTCAGAGTATCTCATGAAACTAGCAGGCTGTATCTAAGCACCCTGACAGCATTAATACGCTGAGCTAATCTGTCAATATGAACTCAGAAGTCTCAGGGCTAAACCCAATGGCTGAGATAAATAAGCTTTGTTGCCTTTTCTTTCAGGTTCGTCTGGTGCAGAAAAAAGACACCGGACATGTGTACGCCATGAAGATCCTTCGCAAAGCCGACATGCTGGAGAAGGAGCAGGTGAGGCTAACTAACGCACACACGCAGGACTGCTGCTGCCGAATCGGTCGGACATCATTAAACGTGTGTGCGCACCCCCCTTCCCCTTCTGTGGGTTAGGTTGGTCATATTCGGGCGGAACGGGACATTCTGGTGGAGGCTGACAGCCTGTGGGTGGTCAAAATGTTCTACAGCTTCCAGGATAAGATGAACCTCTACCTCATTATGGAGTTCCTACCTGGAGGTAGGACACACACATACATACATACATACATACATACATACATACATACATACATACATACATACATACATACATACACGTAACTCGTAACATGATGCTGTGGGGGGACCAGAACCGTCTGAGGTTGACTGGTGTCTGCTGTTGCGGCGCAGGAGACATGATGACCCTGCTGATGAAGAAAGACACACTGACGGAGGAGGCCACTCAGTTCTACATTGCTGAGACGGTGCTGGCCATCGACTCCATCCACCAGCTGGGCTTCATCCACAGAGACATCAAACCAGACAACCTGCTGCTGGACTCCAGGGTGAATTGAATTGAAAAAGTCACATATGCTTCAGTTCTTAACCTGAGTGTGCTCATATTGTGTGTGTTTGTGTCTTCCAGGGTCATGTGAAGCTGTCTGACTTTGGTCTGTGCACAGGGCTGAAGAGGGCTCACCGCACCGAGTTTTACAAGAACTTGAACCACAGCCTGCCTAGTGACCTCAGTAAGCAAAGTAAGGCAACCCCTTATTTCTATCATTAACATGCACATGTCTGTTTAATAATGCAAGTGTGTTATTTGTACACATCTGTACATTTCATTATGGTTGCTTAGCTTTCTATGATTCCATTGTGGCTAAAATGCAGCATGTCTTTTCTCCATCAGCCTTCCAGAACATGAACTCCAAGAGGAAAGCAGAGACGTGGAAGAGGAATAGGAGGCAGCTGGTAGGTCGGAAACAAGATATAATGACACACAAGAGCATTTCTCTAATGAAGGCCAATCATCTTGTCCCAGAAGAAGCTATGCGATATAAAATAGTGGTTAGCAATGGATTAGTTAACCACTGTGACACACTGCTGTACTTTTCTGATATCGACTGAAATGTGTTTGTAGTGTGAAGATGCCGTCATGTGACTGGAACCCAAATATGTAGGTATGAGACTGTATTCTATGAGGCAGAGTTCTTGTAGAAGGGATTTTTTTGGAGGAGCTGTAATGTTTCAGAAAGTCTGCTTCTTTAGTTTAAAGGGGATATAATGTATGTATAAATACTGGTGTAACGGATCTGTTTTGGTGATCACCCCTTGCCGATCAATGACTATTTTAATTTTTAATAGTGTTATCATCTTAGTGTGTTTATAAAGTTGTACTGCTGATGTTACTTCTATAGTAATAAGTCCCTGAATTAATGTTGCACAATGTATCGATACCGCGGTACCCCTACATCATAAACTATACGATTTCGCATATTTTTATTATCAATACTTCCTTAAAATAGCACGCGACCGGAGTTCGCTCACTGGGCCGCTCCTTTTCATGCTGCCTGCACGCGTTGACAGGTGGGCGGAGGAGGGGCAGGTAGGCAGGGCTGCCCAGTGCACGCTCACAGCACGTAATTGCATGGAAGATAGATTGATACTTTGATCCCTCAAGAGGGAAATTTTGGTATCACAGCAGCATGTACAAAATAGAATTAAAAGATACACATTATTTACAATATAATAAGATAAAAAATATTAAATAAAATAAACTAAACTAAAACAAAAGAATAACCTTCAAGAAGAGACCGTGCAATAATAATAATTTGTAAAAGGAGAAGAGGAAGAGGAAGAGCAGCAACATCACAGCAGTACAGGGTTGTTATTCTCGTTATTTAGCCAGAGATGATTTATTGTAAAGTTATGGAATGATCTCCTGTATCGGTCCTTGTGACAGCGGAGCTGAAGGAGTCTGTTGGAGAACGTGCTCCGCTGTCCCTGTAGCAGGTGGTGGAGGGGGTGGTCAGGATTATCCAATATGGATAACAGTTTCTTCAGTGACTTCCCCTCCACCACCTTTTCCAAGCTGTCCTGTTTGCAGCCAATGATTGAGCCGGCCTTCTTAACAAGTTTGTCAAGTCTGTTGGTGTCACCGGCTCCATTGCTGCTCCCCCAGCAGACCACCAGACATGGCAGACATGGCCTTATGTGCACGAGCTGTTGCCGACCATCCCTGACTTGTTGGAAAATAAGATGCCAGTAGTGAAATATAGAAGTACTTTGGCTACGTTACATAGCCGGTTGTAATCAATGCTATGAGTTGTCATTAATATGTTGCTGTAGGCTAATACTAATATTAATGCCATTTGTTAAAAATAATAATGACAAGGTACGGGCGGTTAACCAAACCATTACTGTATGTCTGGTTACAAAGAAATCGAGCGTGACCAGACATTTGAAGCCCCCCGTCCTGGTCTCTCAGTGACAGGGGGTAAAGCATTCAGGAAAGGGTCTGGGGCAAAGTCCGACTGGGCTAAAACTATTACAGCATCAATTGATTATTCAGTATTGAGTAGAGGAAGTGGATATAAGTCAACATAATTTATGTTGCACGTTGCATTAATTATTTGTAAACAATGGCGACATACCATACCTTAATTTTTTTGTTGTTTTTATGTAAAACTATAGCCAACAGTTCTTTGCTTAATAAATAGAAAGCAAGATATTTTTCCCTCCTCCCATTTTCTTTGCTGATTTGAACCGTGACTCTTGTTCTGTGATCAGAACTGAACCATGAGGTTTGTCATTGGTTGCACCCCTGATAAGTAAGATTTAAAATCATCATTTTAAACTGTCACGTCTGGAATGTTGTCATTATTAATAGATAAAGGGTTGATAGTCAGAAGCATTGTTTGAATCTGTATCCATATCATTCGTATTGAATTGAATGTTAACCATTTTGTATCTCATATTTTTGTGTAGTGATCTAGTGATCACTAGATGAGCTAGCCCAGCTCATCTAGTGAAAGGTAGAAAGGTAACAGTGTCCAGTTGTCCTTAAGCCGTCCACAGCTGTGCCTACATTTCAATTCTGATGTTTCTACATCCCTTTTGGTGCACAGTCACATGACATAACTTTGTCCCCAACTGTGCCCCTCCCACATCCCACCAGTGAAGAAGTGCAGAAGCTCCGGTCCAGATAGCTCATGTCAAATAATGTTCATGTAAAAGCTCCCGGCTCATCGGCAGATGCATTTTTAAATGGCTGTCTGTTGCCCCGCTCCCTCTCAGGCATTCTCCACAGTTGGAACCCCCGACTACATTGCTCCAGAGGTCTTCATGCAAAATGGATACAACAAGCTGTGCGATTGGTGGAGCCTGGGTGTCATCATGTACGAGATGCTGATAGGTAACTGACTCGCTGATGGACACAACTTGATTAACGGGTTTGATGAAGTCTCTAAAGGACGGTTGGTGTTTCTGCTGCGTGCAGGTTACCCTCCGTTCTGCTCGGAGACGCCTCAGGAGACGTACAGGAAGGTGATGAACTGGAGAGAGACGCTGACCTTTCCTCCGGAAGTGCCTATATCAGAGAAGGCCAAAGACCTGATCCTGAGGTAAGGACACACCTCTTTTCAGTCCCTCAGTGGATGTAATTGTAACATTCCTCCGTGGTTTCATGTGTGTGGTGTTAAGCAAAGATGTGTTGTGGGCAGGTTCTGCTGTGAGGAAGAGCACAGGGTCGGTGCTGCAGGTGTGGAGGAGATAAAGTCCAATCCATTCTTTGAGGGGGTGGACTATGACCATATCAGGTGGGGAATTACTAATTCATTCACTTTATTCAAGGACTATATTATCATTCAAACAGAGCATGCTGGTTTTCAGTGTTTCACTCAGTCCCATTCTCACCCTAAACTCCGTATTAACTCCTCCTCTCCCCCGTCACGGATCCAGAGAGCGACCTGCTGCCATTCCCATCGAGATCAAGAGCATCGACGACACCTCCAACTTCGACGAGTTCCCCGACTCCGACATCCTCACACCGACAGGTACTGGGCCCTTTTCTCTCAAACACCCGGCTCATCTTCTGCCTCTGCTGTGTGAACTAATTCAATTCAACCCCTCTCCCTACAGTCGCCCCAGTATCCAACCAGAGCGAGGTGGACCTGAAGAACAAAGACTGGGTCTTCATCAACTACACATACAAACGCTTCGAGGGCCTGACCGCCCGGGGAGCGATACCGTCCTACATGAAGTCCGGGAAGAGATGAGCGCCTCCACACGGGCTCTTAACCGGCACGCCTCTAAACCCCGAAGAGAGTAGTTCAAGGAGAGGAGCACCCATCGTGTTCCCTGAGGATCATCGGTCACACAGAACTCAGAGAATAATAAAAGGGCCGCTCAGTTTCACCCGCTGCTTCTTCCAGGAACTGCTGCCTTCATTTCTGCAGGTCTTCACTTCTGGCGCTTCCAGGGGGCACCATTCTACTTCCTGCTCTCACGTGAGGGCTGAAGTGGGATTAAAGTGATTCTCTCTGCTTGCCTTTCTTTATCTCCCACTGGATGCACTCCTGATACCAGCACGCATTACATTCTCTCTCTGAATCCAGCATCTTCTCCTCTCCAGCCAGGACGTTACGCCACTCAGCCTTTTTCATGTGGACTCACCAACTCAGACATTCACTTGATGTGAATCAGGGATTCTGTCCAAACGTGTGTCTCTATGATTGTCCTCTGAAGTGCTGCTGGTTTCTGACCTTAACCAAAGACTGAGCTGAATGCTGTTTCTGCTTGATCTCTCCGTCTCCTCTCCTAACTTAGTTGCTATTTGTAATCGCAGGGGTTGCTCCTTTTAAAAGAGAATATATGAGTGATGCATTTTGTAGAACAAACACAAAGCCTCGTGACATTTTGTCACAGTGACCCACTGAAGTAGTGCACCTTATGTGCTGTTTGATCCAGCAGCACCTACAGCTCATTCCTGAGTGGGTTTTGGATTTTTCTTTTTTTTATTGGACAGGACAGGGGATTGAAGGCACCATTTGGCAGTTCAAATGAACATGATGCAGATCCTCACCATGGGGGGGAGAAGTGGGGGGAGGCGGGGTCATCATGCAAACTAATGCAATTTTTGTAGTCGTCGCAGCCGTTTGAGCCACTTTAGCAGGAAAACAGCGTGTGAGACGTGACCATCTGAACTCACCACAAGGCAGCCGCAGTGTGAACTTTTTTAATAAAGACGCACCGGGCGAAGCATCTTCCAGTGAACACAATATCCAACATGCTGTCATTTAATATGAATGTAAAAGTCTTACACAATTATTCCAAAATGCTGTTTGTGTGAATGTAGCCTGGACCATTCAGTTTCTCTTTTTCTGTTATATTTATCTGTATCCGAGCACACGGCGTAGAGCTATGGGAGTCCATTTCAGTTTGTATGTAAATCTGTATTGATATTCTTGTCAAATTTTTGATTTGATCAGCTTTTACTTCATGCGTGTATTACGTCATATTATTGACTGATCTCCTAATTCTAATGTCTGTCGTAACATTAATCAGGAATTGGTTGATGTTTAAAGCTTTCTATATGCTTGTCAGAATTATGACTAAAACCATATTTGAAGGTCTTATAAATCAAAATCTGGTTTCCACAGTTTGAACTTTTCAGAGATCGCTAAAAGTGACCCATTATTTTATTGGTAGGATTTTTTTTTCCCTCATGTTTTCCTGCAGCAATGGAATGGAGCAATGTAATGCATTTTAGAAAAGCATAGGGAGCTTCCTCCTACGGCAGGGGTGACTATTTTATGTTATTGGAATGCTGCAGCTCGGCGTGTATCTTTTTAGTTTTTACCAATGCAGATGGGTCAGCTTAAAGCAATATAGCACATGGAGCGACGTATTGTTGATGCTGCCACTCGACGCGTGTGTGTGTGCGTACGAGGGTTGAACCGATGCGCATGTTTACGGGTGACGCTCTGACATGTGGTTGATCTTGTCGAGTCAGAAGTGGGCTTTTTCTTTGGGAAGGTGGGTGTACATTATTTAAACCACCGTTCTCTTTGTAGCGCGTGGCTGTTTGTTGTTTTCTGCTATATGACAATGAAATACTCTGCACTTACTGCGTTGTGTCGTCCTTCTAAACATCTGGATGAGTGACTGGCCGGGTCCTCAGCCGTCCACTCTGGATCTGGAGATTGACCCGGCTCACTGAGGACTTGAGATATGAAAAATTATATTGAGTCTTTTACTTTTTGCTCAGAAAAATATTCAATTGTAATGAAGTGAACCAAAAAAGCAATTCAGTCTGATTTACTGAGCCCAGCCACCTTTTTTTATGGTCAAATGAATGTGTTCATCTGTTTGCCTTATCGATATTGGATTAAACGTTAAATAATGACATTACTATGCAAACGTTGCCGTAATGTAAACATACACATTTTAAATCATTTACCTTTATAAAACCAATAAATCGGAGTTTGCTAGAGAGCATTACTGAACAACGAGTATCATAAGACCAAGACCAAGGAGCTCACAAAACAGCTCAGGGATAAATATGTACCAAGTATGAAACAGAGTTATGTTATAAAAAAATATCCCAAACTTTGAACATTTGAAGAAGCACCATAAAACCCATCATCAAAAAATGAAAGGAACATGGCACAACCGCAAACCTACCAAGAGAAGGCCGTCCACCCAAACTGACAAGCAAGACAAAGGCAATGAATGAGAGAAGCAACCCAGACATTGGAGGAGCTGGAAAGATCTACAGCTGAGGGGGAAGAATCCGTTCACGGAACATTTATTAGCCGTGGAGTCCACTAATGGCCTTTATGGAAGAGTGGCAAGAAGAAAGCTGCTGTTGAAAGTAAGGAATCCTGTTTGGAGTTTGCCATAAATTATGTGGGAAAATCATTATAAGACTGCATCCTATTTTCTTCAAAAGAAGACAGGCAGAGGTTCTTCTTCCAGCAGAGCCAAAGCTACAATGGAATGGTTTAGATCAGAGCATGTAAATGTTTTATTTATGGCCTAAATCGCTTTTCACAGATGATCTCCATCCAATCTGACTACGCTTCAGCCTTTTTGCCCCCCATCTTGAGGGCACCTCAACACCAGTCCTCAAGATAAAACACATGCAGCTCATTCCAGCTATGTTCCCATAAAAACACGGTGCTCATGCCTTTGATTAATATCTGTTAACTCCAGAAATGGGACATGCTTTTTCTATCAGATGCTTTCAGCTGAGGTCAGCTCTCTACAAGTCAACTCATGTCAGAATGGGAGAGGGAAAAGAAGAGACAGAAAAATGTGTTCATGATGTCTGTGTTTTACTCAAAGGAGACGGATGCAGATCAATTAATGCCCGTTATGAATCATGTTCACGAGCTGCAGCCCTGAATGGCCTCCATCATGTTGAGAAGAGAACTCTGTCATTATGGGTTAGAACTTAATAACTTTTTTTGTGATTAAAACAAAAACAAAGCGACATAAAATGTGTTTATTTTTTAATTTCATAATCGGTATACAAGGTATGTCTTACGTGTTATTTGATCCATTGTTTGTTACTTGTTTTTGTTGAGGACCCTTTGAAAACATGAAAGCTTATTCCAAAAAGAGAATTTCCAGTAAACTCAAACTGAGCTAATGAGTCAATTTTAGTTTTGACATTATCATGACATAATAAAAATATAATACATCTGATATACATTTTACTGTATATTGTCAATACAAAGCCACATAGAAGAGATCTACCTGATAAATGACTAGACTGTGACCTGTCAATGTGTTACTGAAAACTACAAAAGCGCATTGCATTCATGAAACAAAAATTGTAGTTTATCAGGTACTTAACTCTATATTGAAAATATATCATAATCCTGATATAATCTCTTCAATTAAAAGGAGCAAATCTCATATTTTAGCCATGTTAAAAGTTCCACCTACTAAGCCCCTGGTGGGTTAGACACGTATTTGGGAAATATTTTGTCGGCTTGAATAACCTTTTTGCAATGGAAAACAATGTAAAGATACATTTGTTTGTTAATGTTGTAGCATTACTTAGAGGAGAGCGCTGATGCATGGAGTGATTATATTCTACAGTGGTTATTGAGGATTATTGATGATGGTCATTTAGCGGTGTCTCCCTCACTGCACTGCATGACAATGACATAATTGAACATGTTTGTATGGTGTCTTTTCACCTTGCCTCAAGAAGCTTCAAGAAACTTTACATTAACTGGAAAGGTTCATTAGCACTCCTGGAACTGTCCAGAAGAAGATGATGTCATTCCTCAATGTAAGGCAGCGAGGTCACAGGAGCCCGGCGGAAAAAGAAGCTGGATCCTCTGAAGAGGTGACCCTGGCAGGAAGGGACACAGAGCAATTGTAAATGCTTTGGAGTACTTAGCAGTGACATCTTTAGATCAAAATAAGACTACCATAAGAGTATAGGTGTAAGAGTAAGAGCTTGCCAGCTCTTACTTAGAGGTCATCTTCCAAATGTTATTTCTACTTACATAACTGGTTTATTCAAAGGTACTTCATAAACACAGACAAAAGTCCCAGGCATAACGGGGGATACGGTAAGAAGGGCTGGCACCTTTTCTTTATGATTAGTTTAATTTTCACATTTGTATTTATTATTAAGATATTTATCATTTATGACAGGGTTTTGCTGATCAAAACTTTCAATATTAGATCAGCCTTTAAGAATCGGTGAACCTCTATTCTCAACCTATTATTTTAGTTGTTTAAGAAAAGCACAGCCCCAACCTTTCCTTAAATGCTGAAAATAATACAACAGTATCTAAACGTTAAGGCAAAGAGATTTAGAGAACTACCTTCATGTGTACCAACTGAGAATACAATACCTCATTTCATAATTCTTGAAAACCCTTCACTAGTAAAACTTTGTACTACTACTGCTGCACACAATGATGAACACTACTTTATGGTACTGATGAGTGGTGTGGATGTCAGTGTGGTGTCCCTGCATCTAGTCTGCCTGTACTTTGTTGCTCAGGTGATTCCAGCAGTGGCGCCAGGACTTGAAGATGGGGGAGTGAGGAGGAAGACCTGCAGCCAAGCTGACAACACAAAGCACACACAGTCAGAGCAAAGCCCAAAAAGAGAAAGTATTTTAAGTTTATACAGAGCATAAACCAGCCGCTCCTCTCAGGTACGAGCTAGAACTTTTATGTAATTTGAAGTTGAATATTAGTTAGGTGGAGGCTTTAAATAAGCCCATTGGGGTTTCTACCTCCTCCTGCAAATGGCTGTATCTTTGTTCATTAGGGGTGTAACGGTTTTTATTTTAACAACGATTCGATTCAAATCGTGATCCATGGTTGCCGATTCGATTCATGGACGATCTGGGTTAATTTAGAACAATTCGATTCGATTCAGTGACTTGAAATCGATTTAGTAACTTTACTGGACAGTGCAGGCAAAGTTTCCGAGATCCCTGCGGTTTCTTTAAATTAATTATGGATATTATAAACAAGCAAACAATGGCAATGGCAAATGTATTAACCTTTTATCTATTAACCTTTTATTTGAATCAAGTGCCATTTTCAATGTAAACATTACACAATAATTACACAATGTTTGGATCAATTCACAGAATCCCGGATTTTAAACCACATCGTAGGGTCGCATGTCTTTACAGATCAACTTGGCAATTGTTACTGTGATGTTGAGTTTGGTGCTGGCGAGGCCTGAGGTGTCTGCAGAGCTGGAGTTACCTTCTGCCGCTGCAGCAGTAACGCTGCTAGAGGTGCCTGACTGTCGGCGTTGTTTAATCCCACGGCGCCTTAGTAGATGGCCGGAAAGATTCGTTGTGTTTCCGTGTTTTTTATTTGTCTTCTACATATTCTACAAACAGCGACCGAATTATTTAGAACACCTCCGTGTTTGCAATAGCCAAAATGTTTCCACACGCTGGATCGATAAGTTGGTTTGTAAATGTCTCGCTTGCAGTAGTCTCCTCCACGCTGTGTTTTGTTGTTGTTCCGAGTTTCGCGCGGCTGCCGCTGCGTACTGATGACGTCACAGACAGGCAGACTGAATCGTGTAACGTTTAACGTGTCTAAAAAGTGCTAAAAAACAAACAAACACACATCCATACAGTTTTTGTACTTAAATCCAATGTGCAGTTTCCAAGTATCGATACAATCGATTATGTACCATTTCAATCGATTTGTTATCGATATATGTCGTCCGGAATGCCGATTTGCGGAGCACAGATCGATTCAGTTGGATCGCAGGAATATAAATCGATTAATCGATTCAGTGAATGAATCGTTACACCCCTATTGTTCATCATTAAATAATTGCGCAAATAAATACAACTAAAAAACAGATCTAAAAGCTAAGCAATGAGGGCCTACTGGACGCAAGTGTTCTTTTGTAGTCTCTTCAGTTTGTATGACTTAAGAACAGGTGGAGCAGGATTTTTCTAGGATAATCTTGATTGTCTCCTTTTTGTCCGCATCAAGCGTTTGTTGTCATATCTCGGTTCAGGCTAACGTACACCATGGCCCCTGGGGTCTAAACGTTTGAGTTTAATTGGTGTTATTTATATAAATATGTTTATGTTGGTAATTAATGTAATTAATGTTACCAATGCCTTTATTTAGGCTAAACATATTTTAATCAGCCCTAATCTTTATTAAAGGAAGCATGGATATAGTTCTGTGTATAACTAGGGGTAGTGGTGGCTGCTGATTGGGACAAAGAAATACTCATTCGCAAAAATGTAAACAAACAAAATAAATGTTTCAATTTTTGGCCTCTCAGAGCTTCCATAGAAAAATGTCCACATTTTTAGTAATACGTAACTGCGTGTAAGAAAGAAAGACTCACCCACAGTTGTTAACTGCCATGAGATCAGCCACCAGCATGAACGGATATGTCAGAACACTCACTGCAATCTAGAGAAAAACATTCGACATTAGTATGAATACATTTTGCACATGGAAACAACAACATATGAATGTTGGACTTACACCCATCACAAACTTAGTGTAGCTTCTGATGGCTGAGGCCTGGCTGAACTGCAACAGAAGAACACAAACGCATGCACACACATAAGGATAAAGACGAAACTGCCATTACTTAACATGGAATTAAAAAACATACAAATTAATACTATGGATTTTTCTATACAAGGGCGGCATGGTGGCGTGGTGGTTAGCACTGTCGCCTCACAGCAAGAAGGTCCTGGGTTCCACTCCGCCCAGTGGCCTTTCTGTGTGGAGTCTGCATGTTCTCCACGTGTCTGCGTGGGTTCCCTCTGGGTTCTCCGGCTTCCTCCCACAGTCCAAAGACATGCTCTGGGGATCAGGTTGATTGGGGTCTCTAAATTGCCCGTGGGTGTGTGAATGTGAGTGTTGAATGGTTGTATGTCTCTGTGTTAGCCCTGCGATGGGTGGCGACCAATCCAGGGTGAACCCTGTCTTTCGCCTGAAGTTGGCTGGGATAGACTCCAGCCTCCCTGCGACCCTGCGTGCAGGATGAGCGGATTGATCGACAAATTAATAAACTAATTCAGCTTCTTCCCCGGGAGAGCTTTCTCTCCTCACAGGTTCCTATGGATCATGGTTCTATCTGAACCCTGTTTCTGCCTGCTGACACCTGCTGCTAATTATTAACTTCTGTAGACGGCAGTTATATCTGATGGTGGTTATATCCAATTCTGCTTATAACTGATGATGGTTACATCTGATGGTTTGATCTGATGGTGGTTACACTTGATGATAGTTATATCTTATGGTGGTTGTCCCTGCAGTGGTCCTTCCCTACACTATGCTTACAATTCAATATTTGAATAATTTCTGTCATATAAAGACATCTATTGTATTCTGTCCAACCTAGGAGAGGGATCCCTCCCTAACGTTCTTTCTTTTTTCTCCCCATTGAAGAGTTTTCTCATTTTCGGGGCAGTTTTCCCTGTGCCGACCAAGGTTATTATAGTTTTGAATGTTTTTACTAGTTTTTATTTTTATTTAGTTTTGACTTTTGGTTTTCAATTTCAGTTTAGTTTTAATTAGTTTTTAAAGCTGGTTTGCTAGTTTAGTTTAGTCTTTATTTTTTGAAAATGCTTAGTTTCAGTATTATTTTTAGTCTTTCCCACAGAATTTAACAGCCCGGGGGGGGGGGGGGGGGGCGCAGTCAGGGAAGCTTCATTTTTTGCTTGCAAAACAGAATGCTAGATACAAGCTATAATAAGTAATAAACCATTTTAAAAAATGTATTTAGGACAGATGAACAGCCATCCACAAAAGACAACTATGAAATATGTGTCAGTCAGTGTGTTTGTGTCATTAATCAGAAAAATTCCACTGGACACAACAATATCAGAACATAAAATGTAGATATGGGTATAAAGACACACGTGAACAGCATGTACTAAACCCATTAATGAGCCACACATGACATTGCTTGGGAGTCGGGAGTCTCAGAGAGCTCAATCTGAAAAAAATAATAATCTAAAACCCAATAAAACACTCTAGAGCAGCGATTCCCAAATTGTGGGCCGCGAAGGTACTGCAGGTGGGCCGCGAGAGGTCATTTACAATAAATAAATACATTTTTTTAATTTTTAATTTTTTAAAGTTTGAAATTAATAAAAAATATTTATGATGCGGCACATTAGGTATGTGAAACATTAGTTGATGAAGCACAAACAATTTTAATGGACAGATTAATAAAACAATAAGGCTCTCGTTCGAAACGGCTGCTCTTGTCCTCCTGTTCAACAAAAGGGGCGCCCTCTTGTAGTATTAAAGTCAATATACCGCATTTTCCGCACTCCAAGGCGCACTTAAAAGCCTTTAATTTTCTCAAAAAACAACAGTGCCTTATAATCCGGAGCGCCTTATATATGGATCAATTGGTTAATCGGTTGATCCATACTGGTTGCACACGGCGCTCAAGGCGCTCTGCCAAACATGCCAAAGCTCGGTCTACGACGGCGAGATGCTGAGCGGCGAGATGCTGAGCGGCGAGATGCTGAGCGGCGCTCAAGCGGGTGAGATAAGGAGCTTGTTTCAGGGCGCGTCGGAGAAACAAAGCTGTCGTTCTTGCCGACACTTTATGAGATTAAAGAGCGAGAGACGGTGCCCTTTTCACTACAGTAGCTGAACCATCTTAACGGGGAAAATAAGTTATTCTAAAAGCAGCCAAAGATTTAAGGCGTGGATGGCGAGGGGGGCAGCGGGAGCGGACGCACCTCGTAGATTCTATCGATTGGACCCTGAAAGCACCGTCTCCACCTTACTGTCAAAAAGAACCACAGGGAGCGCGTAGAAAACTCCTTCGAGCGCGAGCAGAGATTCTCCTCGCGAGCAACGAAGTTCACGTTTCACAAGCGAGCAAACACCTCGCGGAGACGAACTTTTGCTCGCGGATGTTTGATTTTGGTTAAATTCTTAAGGTCATTTAATCATTATGTTTTGATCAGAGTTGTGATTAAAGGTTTGGGTGGGCCGCAAAAGATTTTCAGATTTCAAATTGGCCCGCGGCAAAGAAATGAGGGAACTACACCATATTTAAATTATAATGCTCTGCCTTTCTGAAGCAGAAGGTACAAAGCTGAAGGTACATAAGCTGCTGCAGATACAGCTGTGCTGTGGGAGGAAAAGAAACCAAAATAGTTCCAAATTATAATTTTACATACAGTTCTGATCTGAAAATTCATATGCTTTTTATTTCACACAATATTTGGATTCAGTTCTAATCTGATTTTCAAATATCACATGCGTTTTATTTCACATCATATATACATTGTTTTTTAAAAGGTTACGGGGACATAACCCTTAAAAAAAAAACATTTTCACTGCATTGAGAAAGTGTTTGCACTCCAGCTTTGCTGCACATTTAAAAGTATGGCACAGTATCTGACTGTGTCCTTTGTTTGTTCCACTCAGGGAGGAACTAACTGGAAAGGGTGAGATAGGACATGAACAGCTTGTTTGGGACCGGAAAGGTTCAGCCCAGACTTTCTAACCATATGGTTCCAACAAGTTAAGACTACATCAGCAAGGAATACTTTAGATGTATTGCCTTTCTTATAATGGACTTACGCTCTCATCCACAGCGTAGGTGTTAATGATGTGAGCCAGGAGGTTACAGCACCACAGGAATAGGACCTCTCCGGCCACATGAGGTACGAGACCGCTGCCAACACACAGAACACAGCTCAGAGGATGGAGGCAGCACGCAGACAGCATGTGACCGATGAACGCTTGTGGGGGGGAGGTGGTGTACTCACACATAGATCCCAGCGAGTCCTTCCTCCTTAAAAATCTTGACCATGCAGCTGAACATCCCACTGCAAATATGACACATTAACACAGACCGTCCCAGGTGTAAAAGTCAACGTTTGGCGCATGGTACAACATTTTACATACTCTGAAAACATTCTTGTCTGTCAGACTATCTGACTTTTCATCCAGTTTAAAGCCATAATTTTATGATACAATTCAGATATTGCTGTTTTTTTAACTCTACTTGCTACATAGCAGAGGTGGATCACTTACTGTAAATGGAAAAAAGACATTTCCATCTCAATGGAGCTGCCACTCCTTTACCCACACACCAAAGACAAGCGTCAAATCTGCTATAGGGACCTGAAAAAGATCAACCCGGACACCTTGGCCATAGACCTCCAACATCTCTCTTCTGCTGATTTCTCCTCATGCACTGAGTCGGTTGCCTTCTACAACCAATCACTGAGCAGTCTCCTAGATCTCCACGCCCCTGTCAAAACTAGAACTGTCAGCTTCTTACGCTCAGCCCCCTGGTACACCTACAAACTCCGGCAAATGAAAACAGCTGGGCGTGTCCTTGAGCGCCTCAAGGCCTCAGGACTCTCTGACAGGCCTACCGAGAACATCAGAAGTCCCATTCAAGGTCCTTGAGAGATGCACGTTCACAGTTCTAATTAACATTATCAATAACAGCCCTGGCAACTCCAAGCAGCTTTTCTCTACCAAAAATGACATCCTTAAACCGCAAACTCACTCTCATTCAGAAGCCACAGATGAGAGGTGCAACAATTTCATCACTTTTTTCAGAAAAAAGTAGACACCATCCGCTCCCTGCTATCCAGTTTCTCCACACTGCCTGTCCCGACTGCTGACCCACAGCCTGGGATTTCCCAACCTCTCAGCTGTTTTTTTGCCATCTCACAGCGAGACGTTGAGGACATCATTAAAAAGATGAAACCATCCACCTGTGCCCCGGACCCCTGGTAAAATCCAACCTCCATGCCATAAGTCCCCTCATCACAAAGGTCATTAACCACTTCCTCCGGGCTGGCCAGGCTCCCCATCTCTTCTCATCCTCCTGGACTTGACTGCAGCATTCAATACGGTGGACCACAACATCCTCCTCAACCGTCTACATTCCACTATCGGCCTTTCTGACCTCGTCCATCAGTGGTTTCTCATCCTACCTCACAGGGAGAACTGAGCATGTTGCCTTGGGAGAGACTAAATCCCTGACACACAATGTCACCTCTGGTGTCCCTCAGGGCTCAGTGCTCGGCCCCATCCTGTTCATTGTCTACAGGCTCCCCCTTGGCCATGTCATCAGCCGTCATTGAATTTCATTCCACTGCTATGCTGATGACACTCAACTCTACCTCAGGACAAACCCAACCCCCTCTGCTGCCCTGCCATCATCCACTCTGACCTGGCCTGCCTGGAGGAGATAAAGGCGTGGATGAAGCAAAACTTTCTGCAGCTAAACAGCTCAAAGACTGAAGCCATCTTAGTCGGCACTCCACACCAGGTTCGGTCATCTGACATTACCAGCATCACCTTCTCCGGCCAAAGTATTCCACTTTCAACATCAGTCACCAACCTAGGTGTTAAAATGGACTCCCATCGGACCTTTGAGGCTCACATCAAACATCTCTGCAAGACCTCCTTCTTCCACCTCAGGAACATCGCCAAACTCCGTCCCACACTCACTCCTGCAGATGCGGAAAAGCTTGTCCACGCTTTTGTCTCCTCCAGGCGGGACTATTGCAATGCGCTCCTCACTGGGATCCCTGAGAGAAGCCTCCAGAAATTGCAGTATATACAGAACAGCGCTGCTAGGGTGCACAAACATGAGCACATCACCCCCATCCTCAAATCACTCCACTGGCTTCCTGTCTCACTCAGGGTTGAGTAGAAGGTCTCCCTCCTTACCCACCAGTGCATCCATGGTGAAGCTCCCCCCCCCCCCCCCCCTACCTCAAGGAACTCCTCAGCCCACAGACCTCAACACGTACTCTCCGATCTGCCTCAGCACATCTTTTAAAACCTCCCAGGACAAAGCTCTGTACAATGGGAGATCGGGCTTTCTGCTCAGCTGCTCCCAGTCTGTGGAATGCTCTCCCTGACCACCTGAGGACACCACAGACTGTGGATGCTTTTAAACGTGGCCTAAAAACCCACCTTTTTAGGAGAGCTTTTTAGTGAACTTGTTTTGTTTTTGTTTTCAAACTCTCCGTGTGTTTTTATTGTTAGCACTTAACAGTTTTATCATGTAGCACTTTGGGATTTTCTTAAATATAAAGTGAATTACAAATTAAATGTATTATTATTTTTATTTCCAACTAATTCAAGGGACTTTGATTGTGAAGCAGCCACAGGGAATGCAACATATTTATCGCACATCAAACCTCTCTACAGTCACTGAACATCTGAGGATCATACATTTTATGAACAACCTCACTGTTACTCATTAGTTCTATATTGTAGAGACATTTGTTATAGTCTTTAATAGAAAACACTGACAAATGTGCAGCATAATAGGTCTAATAGGTCTTACCCATACTTGACCTCTCTTCCAACAAACTGGGCCATACACCGCACTGAAATGACTGCCAAAGGAGAGTGGAACAGATGTTTAGCTAAACAACCCGTTACTACACGCTTTCTCATAACGCTTACGTTCCGTTTCCACTCAGCATATGACTCACATCAGCTTTGACTATGACAACAAGGCAGTCAAAAATAGACCGATGGTCACATTGGTTTCAGAACATTACAGAAAAATATGTTTTTTGAAATGTGTCACTGTTAAGTTGAAGAGGTTAGTATACTTGGTGGAATGAACATTGATAGCCTTAATGACTTAATGAGGACATACCATGAAGAGGATGAGTGGCTACTCTGGATGAGCATCTCATGGGAGGTCTGGAGAGAGGAAACGGTTTCAGAAGGTGAAGCCATCACGATTTATCAGCTGTTCAAGCTCCTGGGGATTATTGTGTCTTCACTTTGGGCATTTCTTTTTTATAAATGTATTCATACTGATGTATTGATTTTAATGATAATTATAAACACATTGATTTCAACAAAAATCTTTTTTTTATTGAACAACCGAACACCCTCACATTTTAAAAGTGAATAAACAGAATAAGCTGTGACCACAGTCTGATCAAATATTGTCCTCTTTTGCTGCTGTGCTGTTCCACACTCACAGATGTGGAATGGTTCGAGAGCTACGCAAATAACGTCTTTCACAATTTTCAGGAGAACCACAACCAGCACTGAGAGGAGCAGACAGGCAGGCCTTGTTGCAGTAAAACTAGAGTTTATTTTAAAAAGGGACTGTCGTGCTCAGAAACCCAAGCGCAAACACCAGAACGCACCAGTCCATTGAATAATAGTTGGGGATAGATGGATGTTATTCAGGAGCAGTTCTCACCTCTTTAACCACTTTGCTGAGTGAAGTCTGCAGGTCATCTTTCTTGGAGAGAATATCCACCTGCTAAGTAAAAAAACATTACTTTGACGATTCTCCACAACATTCACAGCTTACATTTTTGCCCGATGTAACAGCCCCAATTCGAGATCACTCAGTAGGCCAATAAGATAAAACTGGAAAATGACACTATTATATGAAGTAAAAAGTCCTTTCGCTAGAATATGCCCTTTTTTCTGCAGCCAGTGTTTTAGGTCTGTGATGGAGGTCAAAAATGTGGAGTAAAAATCTATATTCACACGTATATATATATATATATATATATATATATATATATATATATATATATATATATATATATGTGAATATATACATATATATATATACACACACACACATTGCTGTGCAAGTTTATTACATAGATAGCAATCCTGTTTTGGGGGATATTGCTGAGGGAGCTTTAAAATAAACAGACATTTAAGCTCTCTGCAAGTAACAGTTGAAGTAATGAAAAAAAACACTAGAAGTGTTCTGCTTTTTAAAGGTCTGTGTAACAATACCACAGCACCCTGTTCTGTTATCTCATCCAAAAAAACTCTATTTTGAACCATAACACTAACATTGGTTTTGGCAAGCCGGCATTTCATGACAACGGGGAAGCGGCGCATCACTTGGCAACAAGGCAACAAGGCCTTAACTAGTTTATAAGTAGGAATTTGTATTTGCTTCTCACTTGTAGAATATGATTCCAGTGAGGCATGACTGGGTATATAGGATTATTACTATTGCAGCTCGAGACATTGAGTTAATCTAAAAAGTGAATACAGCCTCCATACATGGAGTAGGGGGAAAGTAACCATTGCTCATCTGTTTCAATCTTCGACCCAATCGGCAGATACTTTCCATAAACACATCGACCTCCATGTCAGACTGTAACCTGCTACACCGCGCTGCCCTGTGCACCCGTTTCACTCCGCTCCTGACCACAGTGGAGATGGCACTAGACATGATACGAGGCGACAGGCCGCGGAAGAGCCCCCTGCTTCCGTCCACCTTCACGATGTGTCGCACTGGAAGAAAAATTTACATTTAATACAAATATTCCTCAGCTCCGGGGGGGGAGGGCGGGTGGTTCCGTAAATCACCTCACCGTAGGAGAAGAAGCCGGGCAGGTACAAGACTCTCCGTCCGAACATGGTTGTTCCCACGGTGGAGGGCAGAGGTTCGTGTCCCATCTGGGGAAGATCAGTGAGATTAAACACACCAGCCTTGGCACAACGAGGACTCAAACTCCCACGGCCCCAGTACATTAATTATATATAACTCCAAAGACAAAAAAACTGCATGTTTATAGTCTATGTTTACTGACATTTTTAGAGGCTTTAACTTTGAAATGGTACATCAGAATGTCCTGATTAATTACTGTGTCACACCTTGAGGTGGTTATACTATCAACCTGAAGTGGAATTACTATGTAACTATTGATTATTGCCTTTTAAATGCTATCTGGAATTGACCAGAAGTTGGCTGGTGAATGAGGTTTTAAAGGAAGTTGGTTCATGTATGACATTTTGAAGGGCCTTTAGTTTGAAATTCCACATAAGAATAAGAATTTCCTGATATTTTATGATCTGTGTAAATTAATTCTTTATAAACGTATTTGAATAATTACACAATTGAAATCACATTATCATTTATAAACGGTGTCTCTATATATTGCATCCATTTCCATGTTTTTAATGTATTATCACATTTATATATGATTTACAGACTCATTGAAGAAGTTTGACACGTGCATTGGAAGTGATCTTATTTTGAAATCTGTTCTTACACGCCACTACCGTAATCTCTAGCATATACGCGTACCACGAAATGACGTGCGGGGTGGCTTGACCGCAGTGATTGACTGGGGGATGGAAAGCATCCACTCTATGGGAGGAGGTTTCAAAGTACACAGTGGACGCATTTGGATTCTCAGTTAACCTGAGGAAATAGTTGACATGAGAACAATTATGTCCGCTTATTTAAGAAAAGAAAAATCGATTGGCCGAAGCGTGCATGATGTTTGATAAAATATAAATAAGGGCAAAACTTTGACTTTTAAATCTCCCTGGAGCTCTCCACGCAGAGGCGGCTCTCTGCCGTACAGCGCTTCCTTCAACTGCGAGGACAGCGTACCGTGACGGGACGTAACGCTCGTGGATATGACCAATGAAGTTACGTTGATAAATACGTCGTGGTGACGTCACATACAACACCGCAGCCACGTGTTGACAACCGTAACAGTTGCGATTAGCTAACATTATCTCTCTTCGGCTACCGTACCTGTATTAGTAGCTTCACGTAGAGCAGCGGGTGCGTGAAGGCTGTAACCCCGGCTCCCAGCAAGAGCACCGCGGTGTCCACATCCACGGGGGTCGCTGGAGCATCCCGCCCGACACCTACAGCCTGTCCGGACGGGTTTTCAGGAGATTCCATCTTAAATTGCAGTCTATAGAGGATGGAGACTCGTTCATGCTGTGCATGAGTGCCCCGCCGCGGCCGCAGTTAGACTTCACTGGAGGAGGTCTACAGGAAAAAACATTTCCGCATCGAACCTTCAAAATAAAACTCGTTTAAGCGGTAATGTAGGCAGGGACAAAATAACGCGGAAATATATACCACTTTTAAAATGATAGAGCGCGAACAACTGAGGGGTTTTATTAGGAATATTAGAAAGTATTATTGGTTAAATAATGTCTCATGACGTTGGAACTAAAACACATGGACGTAGTCTAGCTTGTGCCCAGTGCTGTAGTGGTAAGATTAGAGGTGGGTAAACTCTGAATTTTGTGATCATACGGACCTAGACGCGATGCGAAGCAACGCAACACAAAGCGTCGCGACTCTGTAAGGCTGTCCTGGCTATATTGCATTATGTTATCAGTAAAAGTCATATACAATCAATGACAATGAATACATTACATTACATTACATGTCATTTAGCTGACGCTTTTATCCAAAGCGACGTACAATAAGTGCATTCAACCATAGGGTACAAACTCAGGAGAACAAGAAACAAGAAAGTGCAATTTCCTCAAATAAGCCAATTTACAATTTGCTATAGATGAGTGACGTTACAAGTACAATTTAAGTGCTACAATTTGTTAGTCTTTAGTCGAGGTAGAGTCTGAAGAGGTGTGTCTTTAGTTTGCGGCGGAAGATGTGAAGGCTCTCTGCGGTCCTGGTGTCTTCAGAGAGCTCGTTCCACCATTTCGGCGCAAGGACAGCGAAGAGTCGAGACCTAGTCGAGTGTTTTGCTCTCAGTGAGAGAGGGACGAGTAGTTTTGCAGATGCAGAGCGGAGAGTGCTGGTTGGGATGTAGGGTTTGACCATGTCCTGGATGTAAGCTGGACCCGATCCATTCACAGCATGGTACGTGAGCACCAATGTTTTGAACTGGATGCGGGCGGCCACCGGTAGCCAGTGAAGAGAGCGGAGGAGTGGAGTAGTGTGGGAGAATTTCGGAAGGTTGAAGACCAGTCGAGCTGCTGCATTCTGAATGAGCTGCAGAGGTCGAATGGCGGTGGCAGGGAGACCTGCCAGGAGGGAGTTGCAGTAGTCCAGGCGGGAGATGACAAGAGCCTGAATCAGTACCTGCGCTGCCTTCTGAGTGAGAAGGGGACGTATTCTCCTGATATTGTAGAGCGTGTATCTACAGGATCGCGTTGTCGCGGCAATGTTGGGAGTCAGGGAGAGTTGGCTGTCGAGTGTGACGCCGAGGTTCTTAGCGGTCAAAGTGGGCGTTAGTACGGAGTTCCCAAAGTTGACTGTCAGGTCCTGGGTAAGCGAATCTTTTCCGGGAAAGAGAAGTAGTTCAGTCTTGTCGGGGTTGATTTTCAGATGGTGGGCGGACATCCACTGAGAGATGTCAGTTAGACAGGCAGAGATCCGAGCCGCCACCTGGGTGTCCGAGTGAGGGAAGGAGAGAATTAGTTGGGTGTCATAAATGGGTTAGTAGTTTGTAGTTTATTAAATTTAAGAAAACAGAAAAGAAAAGTATGTCAACCCAACACAACAACACAATTGCATATTAAGAACTATCTTCATACGGAGTCTCCTTTTCACAGTAGTGCCCAGAGGGCCTCCTTGTCCTGCACAGAGGAGCCATGACCCCCAGAACACGCGTTTAAGGGTTCATGGCTCCTCTGTGCTTCTCCTCTCTCTATTGGACCTGGTGTTTCTCCTCTCCCTGTGCTCTCTGCATCATTGCCGGTCCTCTCACTGCCTGAAAAAATATGTTGAATTTAAGAGTTAACCAGTTAAGCAGCCTGTCAATTACACTGACAACATAAGTTAAAGGAACACTCATGTACTACCTACGTCATCATAAATAGCCTATACAGCATGTTTTTTTCACATTTGAGATCTGACTTGTTTTCTAATCTACGCGTCACCAGGCGTTTTTCTTGTCCTTTTACCGTGCACGACCAGCGAACACAGAGCGCGCGACTACTAACCCCCCCCCCGTCGGACCTTCTCGACCGGTCCGCGAAATATTGTCTGACATGAAACCGGTCCGTGAGGTAAGAAAGGTTGGGGACCACTGGGCTGATCCACAACGTGTGTTTACACACCTCCTGGATCCTGATTGGTCGCTGCTGCAGCCGCAACGGAAGAATACAAGGCGCAGGGAACTTTGAGGTGCGTAAACGCCATTTAGAGGTGCGTAAACGCTATTTATAGGTGCGTAAACGCTATTTCCAAAATTCTAGAGGTGCGTAAACGGCGTTTATGTGCGTTTACCCTCCACTACAGCCCTGCTTGTGCCATCACATGAACACACGGGCGCATGACGCCCGCGGATCTATAGCGGTGTGGTGGCGGGCGTGGTTTTGGCTCGTCTGCAGCGGGAGAGAGGGGGGAGTGGCTCAGGGAACGGTGCCAGGTGGGAGCAATTGGCATCAGCACAGCTGATGCTATTCTAACTTGGTGTTCATGTCTTTTTAAGAGCAGTGAGAGCGGCGGGGAGGGAGAGAGAGACGAGGAGACTTTACTGCTCTGTGTGTGAAACGTTCAATAAAAACTGTTATATTGGACCCAACCCTGCCGTGTCGTGCTGACTCTGTGCCCCCGAGTACCTACGTCGTGACAGTGGCGCCCAACGTAGCGGGGGGACGGCGAGATGACTAACGAGCAGCAGCAGGGGGTGCCGACCCAGCCGATCTTGGCGCTGGGTCGGATGATCGGCGAGCTGGCGGTCATCCAGCGGGACCAGGCAGAGGCCAATCGGCAGTTCCTGGGGGCGCTCCAAGCCCAGGTGGGACGACAGGCCCAGGCTCTGGAGCAACTGACGGCGCGACCGGCCGACGCTCAGCCAACGCCCGGGCCCGCGGCGCTGGCCGGACTGGCGCTCCATCGCATGACGGCGGAGGATGATGCACAGTCCTTTTTGGAGGCCTTTGAGGCGATGGCGGAGGCGTGCAGCTGGCCGGCGGAGGAGTGGTCGGTCCGGCTTTTGCCTCTCTTGTCCGGGGAGGCGCAGACAGCGGCCATGGGGCTGCCACCGGTGGCCCGGCGGAACTACGCATCCGTGCGTAAGGCGGTCATCGACAGGCTGGGGCTGCTGCCAGAGGACCACCGCCGGCGGTTTCGGCAGACCAGGTTGGAGCCAGAGGACCGGCCGTTCGCGTACGGGCAGCGGCTCAAAGACGCCGCGAACAGATGGCTGCTGCCTAACGGCGATGGGGGGATGGAGGCCGTGATGGAGAGGGTGGTGCTGGAACAGTTTGCGGAGGGGCTCCCGACCCGGACGGCAGCGTGGGTGAGATACCACCGCCCACCGACCCTCAAAGCGGCCATCACCCTCGTGGAGGATCACCTGGCGGTGCACCCCAGCGGTCAGCGGGACGAGGAGGGTACGCCACCCCCGGCCCGACCAGCGCGACGGCGAGGGGGGCAGCCGCAGCCGGTGGAGCGACCCGTGCCGGCCCCGCGACGGACATCGTTCCTTCCGGCCCGCTACCCGCCGACCGCAGAGAGCTCCGGTGCCCTTCCCGACCCACAGAGGGGTTCTCAAACGCCGGGGCAGGAATGTTGGAGGTGCGGGCAGCCCGGACACCTCCGGAGAGAGTGTCCGCTGATGGAGGTGGGGCAGGTGATTCGGGTTGCCGGCGTTCCAACACCCTCCCCCGGTCCGGGAGCGACGTACCGCGTTCCGGTAAGAATCCAGGGGGGTATACGCCAGGCGTTGGTTGATTCAGGCTGCATGCAGTCTATGATTCAACAGAGCCTGGTTCGGCCCGGGGCATTGGTGGAGGCGTCACGGGTGAAAGTAAGGTGTGTGCATGGGGACGAGTATCCCATAGTGTCCGTAGAAGTTAGGCATAGGGGGGAAAAGCATAGTGTGAAGGTAGCGGTTAGCTCCCGCCTGACGCACCTCGTAATTTTGGGAACAGATTGGCCAGGGTTTGATAAGCTAATGGGGCTGGCCGCGGGGGTGCGTTCACGAGCGACAGGGTTATGCGGTATGTGCGCGGTGCTCAGCGGTGACGCGAGGTCGTCCGACGCTGCAGACGGGGAGGGCGAGCCAGCGGAGCCTCTCGTAGAGACTCCGCCGGTTCCCGGGTTTCGCTCCATGGAAGATTTTCCACTCGAGCAGTCTCGTGACGATACTCTACGCTCAGCTTACGACCAAGTGATTAGGATTGATGGTCAGTTGGTGCGCCCCGCAATCATATCCGCACTTTTCATTGATTGAAAAGACTGTATAGAGTGAGTCGTGACACTCTGACGGGGCAGGAAAACACCCAGTTGCTGGTGCCGAAAAGCCGTCGGGAAATGATTTTCCAGGCGGCTCATTATAACCCGATGGCGGGGCATATGGGATACGAAAAAACGCTAGACCGGATAATGACCCAATTTTATTGGCCAGCCATCCGGGGGGACTTGCGCCGCCGGTGCGCGTCCTGCCAGGAGTGTCAGTTAGTAAACGCTCCGGCCATCCCGAGGGCGCCGTTGCGTCCTCTGCCGTTGGTGGAGGTTCCGTTCGAGCGGATCGGTATGGACCTCATCGGGCCGTTTCAGCGGAGCGCACGCGGATATCGCTTTGTGTTAGTCCTCATGGATTACGCAACGCGATATCCGGAGGCAGTGCCGTTGCGCAATATCTCTGCAAAGAGTGTCGCGCAGGCTCTGTTTCAGGTCATCTCCCGAGTCGGAATCCCTAAAGAGATTCTGACTGACCAGGGCACCTTGTTCATGTTGCGCACACTGAGAGAACTTTACTAGCGTGTATCACCCGCAGACGGATGGGCTGGTGGAACGTATGAATAAGACTCTGAAGTCCATGATCCGTAAATTTATTAGCGAAGATGAACGTAATTGGGATAACTGGCTTGACCCTCTGTTGTTTGCAGTGCGGGAGGTTCCCCAGGCCTCCACGGGGTTTTCTCCCTTTGAACTTTTGTTTGGCAGGACGCCGAGGGGGGTGCTGGACCTAATTAAGGAAAGCTGGGAGGAAGGTCCGAGCCCTGGCAAGAACGAGATCCAGTACGTCCTGGACCTGCGAGCAAAGCTCCACAAACTGGGTAGAATGTCACGAGAGAATTTGCTCCAGGCCCAGGAACGGCAACAACGGCTGTACAACAGAGGAGCCAGGCTGCGGCAATTCACGCCGGGAGAAAAGGTACTTGTGTTACTTCCTTCTTCCAACTCTAAACTCCTGGCTAAGTGGCAAGGGCCCTTTGAGGTCACACGGCAGGTGGGGGATGTCGACTATGAGGTGGTACGGTCGGACTGGGGCGGAGCGATGCAAATATACCACCTAAACCTCCTGAAAGCC